TCCCAGGTGGGTGCCAGTGTCCCCAGGGCATGGGCCGTGCGCCCCTCCGTTCACTCTGCATCCCTGTGCTGCTCCAGGGCACCTGGGGCAGGATGCAGCCCCTGGTCTGCACCTTGCAGTGTGCGGGGGAGCTGTGGCAGCGGGCGCCCTGGGAGGCGTGAGCGATGGCCCTTGTTGGTCACACTACATTTCCTTTTCATTAGCTCTAAGTGTGGACATGAGGGATCGGTGTGGGTTCAGCGGGCGCAAGCACTGTGCTGATGCTCTCCCTGATGGATGGCAGGGACAGGAGGGGGCTGCCGCATGGCAGCAAGGGGGGGGACAGCGCTGAGGCACAGGGACACACTGGTATGGGTGATCCCCCAGCCTGGGCACACAGGAGGTGTCTGAGCCCCCATCTCCCTGCAGGTGCTCAGCAAAGCGCGACCGTGGCCAACCCGGTGTCTGGTGCGTCCCCGGACCTGCTGCCGCACTTCCAGCTGGAGCCGGAGGACGTCTACATCGTCAAGAACAGGGCAGTGAGCCTGGCCTGCCGCGCCACCCCCGCCACCCAGATCTACTTCAAGTGCAACGGCGAGTGGGTGCACCAGGGTGACCACGTCATGGAGCACAGCACTGACCGCAGCACCGGTGAGCACCAGCGCAAGGGGCGAAAGCATCCATGGTCATGGGGACAGGTGGGGGGGTCACATGGGGATCCCTCCCGGTGTGTTGGTGCTGACATGCTGCCCGCCGGTGGCAGGGCTGCCGGTGATGGAGGTGCGCATCGAGGTCACCCGGCAGCAAGTGGAGAAGATCTTTGGGCTGGAGGAGTACTGGTGCCAGTGCGTGGCCTGGAGCTCCTCCGGCACCACCAAGAGCCAGAAGGCCTTCGTGCGCATCGCCTGTGAGTGTCTGTGGGTGCCTGGATGGGGTGTGGGGCTCTGGCCCCAGTTCCCCCACTTCACCCCTGTGCCTCCACAGACCTGCGCAAGAACTTTGAGCAGGAGCCGACCGCCAGGGAGGTCTCCATCGAGCAGGGCATTGTGCTGCCATGCCGCCCTCCCGAGGGCATCCCCCCGGCCGAGGTGAGACCCCTCGCTCTGGCAGGGCAGGATGTGGCTGAGGGTGCCCCTTCCCCAAGGGGACACCGAGGGGGTGACCCAGTGATGTCCCCGTGCCCCACAGGTGGAGTGGCTGCGCAACGAGGAGCTGGTGGACCCGGCGCTGGACGCCAACGTCTATGTGACGCCAGAGCACAGCCTGGTGCTGCGGCAGGCCCGCCTGGCCGACACCGCCAACTACACCTGCGTGGCCAAAAACATCGTGGCCCGTCGCCGCAGTGCATCCGCCGCCATCACTGTCTACGGTACGGCCCCACCGTGCCCGTCCCCGCCATGCTGTCCCAGTGTCACCCTCCCCGTCCTGTCCCTCCCCGTGTCCCCCATGCCCGCGGGGTGCTGACGGGTCCCTCTCCACCCAGTGAACGGCGGCTGGTCAACGTGGACGCAGTGGTCGGGCTGCAGCACCAGCTGTGGACGGGGCTGGCAGAAGCGGAGCCGGACGTGCACCAATCCCACACCCCTCAACGGGGGGGCTTTCTGTGAGGGCCAAAACGTGCAGAAAACCGCCTGCACCACCCTCTGTCCAGGTACCGGCCGGCCCGGGGCATCGCCACTGCCCACCCCCCCAATGCCGATGCTGCACTCCCCGCTGCACCCAGCCCAGTCCCTGTCCTCCCGCCCCGGCTGTCTCGTCCTCACACCCCCTGTGTGTCCATGTGTGCGGCCCCGGGGCACGGGAGGGGCTGGCAGTGGGGCGCTGACCCCCGGCTGTGCCCGCAGTGGATGGTGCCTGGTCAGAGTGGAGCAAGTGGTCGGTGTGCGGGGCCGAGTGCACCCACTGGCGCAGCCGGGAGTGCTCGGAGCCAGCGCCGCGCAACGGGGGCCGGGATTGCCACGGCCCCGAGCTGGACACCCGCAACTGCACCTCCGAGCTCTGCAGCCATGGTGAGTGCAGCAGGGGCAGCGGGGCTGTCCCCTGGGATAGGGGATGGGGGTGCCGGTGGGTGCTGACGCCCTACCCCACCACAGCTGCCTCCGGTGCGGAGGACGTGGCGCTGTACGTGGGGCTGGTGGCGGTGGCCGTGTGCCTGGTGCTGCTGCTGCTGGTGGGGGTGCTGGTGTACTGCCGCAAGAAGGGCGGCCTGGACGCTGATGTGGCCGACTCCTCCATCCTCACCGCTGGATTCCAGCCCGTCAGCATCAAGCCCAGCAAGGCCGGTGAGTGAGGGCTCCATGGCTGTGCACCCGTGCCAGGACACGGTGTCCCTCAGGATCTGGGTCCTCAACCTGTCCCCCCCATACCCTGTGCTTTGTGCCGCAGACAACCCCAGCCTGCTCACCATCCAGCCCGACCTCAGCACCACCACCATGACCTACCAGGGCTCGCTGTGCCCACGCCAGGACGGCCCGGCCAAGCTCCAGCTGCCCAATGGGCACCTGTTGAGCCCGCTGGGCGCCGGGCGGCACACGCTGCACCACAGCTCTCCCGCTGCTGAAGGCGCCGACTTCGTGGCCCGGCTCTCCACACAGAGCTACTTCCGTTCGCTGCCCCGCGGTACCAACAACATGGCCTACGGCACCTTCAACTTCCTGGGGGGGCGGCTCATGATCCCCAACACAGGTACGGGGGGGGGGGGGGAGCAGGGTGCCAGAGCATCACCCAGCACAGGCGGGTCCCCGTGGGCTCATCCCTGCCTGCACCCCGCCACCAGGGATCAGCCTGCTCATCCCACCCGACGCCATCCCACGGGGGAAGATCTACGAGGTCTACCTGACCCTACACAAGCAGGAGGAGGTGAGGTAGGTGCTGGGGCTGCCAGGGCCCGGGGGCTGCTGGGCTGGGACATTCCTGCTTCATCTATCCCCTATGGTACAGGCTGCCCCTCGCTGGCTGCCAGACACTGCTGAGCCCCATCGTCAGCTGCGGCCCGCCTGGGGTGCTCCTCACGCGCCCCGCTATCCTGGCCATGGGGCACTGCGTGGAGGCCAGCGCCGAGAACTGGAGCATCCGGCTGAAGAAGCAGTCGTGTGAGGGCACGTGGGAGGTGAGTGTCTGCCGGGCACGGGGGGTTCCATGGTGGGTGCTGGAGGGGGGGATGCCCATGGGCGCGGTGCGTGTCTCTGGGTGCCGCAGGACGTGCTGCAGCTGGGCGCCGAGCCGTGCACGGAGCTGTACTACTGCCAGCTGGAAGCGCAGGCCTGCTACATCTTCACGGAGCAGCTGGGGCGCTTTGCCCTGGTCGGGGAGTCCCTGAGCATGGCGGCCTCCAAGCGCCTCAAGCTGGTCCTGTTCGCACCGGCCGCATGCCCCTCGCTCGAGTACAACATCCGCGTGTACTGCCTCAGCGACACCCAGGACACCCTCAAGGTACCGGGGGGGCCCCGTGTAACCCTCCCATATCCCGGCTCGGAGCGAGGGATGTGCTCCCAGGGTGCAGCATCTGCTGCCTGACCGCTGCTGTGCCGGCAGGAGGTGATCCAGCTGGAGAAGCAGCTGGGGGGGCAGCTGATCGGAGCCCCCCGGGTGCTGCACTTCAAGGACAGCTACCACAACCTGCGCCTCTCCATCCACGACATGCCCAGCTCCCTCTGGAAGAGCAAGCTGCTCGCCAGTTACCAGGTGGGGAGCCCGGCTGGCAACTGGGGATAGGGGACGGTGTCTCTGCCACTCTGACTCCTTCCCACCATCATCCCACCACAGGAGATCCCTTTCTACCACATCTGGAGCGGGCTGCAGCCCTTCCTGCACTGCACCTTCACCTTGGAGCGCCTGAGCCCCAGCACCTGTGAGCTGGCCTGCAAGATCTGGGTCTGGCAAGTGGAGGGTGATGGGCAGAGCTTCACCATCAACTTCAACATCGCCAAGGTGAGGGCAGGGCTGGGGGGAGCCTGGGGGTGACCCCAGGATGGGCTCACGTCACCCCTCTGCTGCTCTGCCCTAGGACACGAGGTTTTCGGACTGGCTGGTCCCTGACAGCGAGGTGGGCGCCCCAGCCCTCGTGGGCCCCAGTGCCTTCAAGATCCCCTTCCTCATCCGCCAGAAGATCATCAGCAGCCTGGACCCGCCGGGCACCCGGGGAGCCGATTGGAGGATGCTGGCCCAGAAGCTCAACCTCGACAGGTTGGTTGGGGATGAGGTGTCATGGTGGATGGGGATGGGGGTTTCTGGGCTCATCCTACAGCTATGGATGCTGGCATGCTGCAGGACCTTGGGAGCGGGATGGTGCCCAAGGTAAGGCCAGCATGGGGCTGGTCCTGGTATGCAGAGCCACCCCTCTGCCCTGACGTGGTCCCTCTCTTCACCCCCCTCCAGCCATCTCAGCTTCTTCGCCTCAAAGCCCAGCCCTACAGCCATGATCCTCAACCTGTGGGAAGCGCGGCACTTCCCCAATGGCAACCTCTCTCAGCTGGCTGCCGCCGTGGCCGAGGTGGGCAAGCAGGACAGTGCCCTCTTCGCCGTCTCCGAGGCCGAATGCTGAGCGTGGCAGGGATGGAGGCACAACCCCGCTCCTGGGGGACCACCGCCATGGGGCAGCGGGGGCCCCGGCCGGCCCCCAGGCTCCTGCTGCCCCACAGCCCACAGTGCGGGCTGCCTGGTCCCTTTGTGACACAGGGATGCCCGTGTCCCACGGCAGTCAGGAACCCTCCCCAGTGCTGCGGCCCTGGGCATCCCACAGCCCCATGGTGGGGGGCCGGGGGGGCACTGGGTGTGCGTCGAGCGTGCGGTGCCGTCGTGCTGTCTGCGTGTGGGGCCCCGTGCCGTGTTGTGTAAAGACCGTTTTTTTAATTCTGTATTAAGTGCATTCAAGTATTGACACTTGGCCTTATGTACATAGCGGTGCCGCGGGCGGGGGGGCTGCCGGACCTGAATGTAAATAAATTCGATCTATATATTGCTACGTGGGGCTCTGCCTGGCCGTGTGCTGCCCCCCAGGCCCTCCCCGTGAGCCCCCAGCAGGCAGAGGTGGGGAGGAAAGCGCTTTATTGGGGTGATGGCAGCGGTGGCTGTGCCTAGGGCCCAGCTTTGCGGCAGGCCACGGCCGCCACGAGCGCGGCCCCTTTCCCCGAGCCATCCTCCGACTGCAGGAAGGTGACGGTGCACTTGGGTGCCAGGACCTGCAGCGTCTGCTGGAGGTTCTGGGAGAAGCTGGAGGGCACAGGAGGGAATGGTGAAGGTTGGTGTCCCCCACGCACCCCATGTTCCCCATAGGGTCCCTGCCACCCCCAGCCCCACTCACTGCGGGTGCATCTTGTACAAGGTTCCATCCACCCCAACGGTGACAACCAGCTGGTCCAGGCCCCGGTTCTCCCGCATCTTCTCCACCACAGCAGCCACGCCGGCGGCGCAGAGCTGGGCCGCCCGCAGGGACACGGTCTGGCACACCTCCCGCACCAGCACGCTGTCCTCAAAGCTGGCGTGCAGATCCAGGTCCCGCAGGATGGCCAACACCTTCCGCAGGGCCAGCCCATCGCTGCCCCGGAACAGCGGCACCATTAGCACCACTGTCCCCATCCCACAGGCAGGAGATGGCATCACCTGTATGTGCCACATCAGTGCAGTGTGGCCCCTCTCCCTGGCCTCTGGCTTCACACCCTCCCACCCCGGGCTCAGGGAACCTACTGCAGCCCAGCACTCACATCTCAATGGTGGAGAGGAACTTGGTCTGGAAGATGTCCTTGGTCTGGAGCTTGGGGCAGGGCTTCCCATGGAACAGGACCCGTTTCTCCACCATTGCCAGCAGGATGTAGCGCACAATCTCACCCAGGTACATGCCGCTGATGAGCTTCTCGAACCTACCCAAGGCACAGCCTTAGCTGAGCACAGCAAACCCCCTGTGTGTGTCCCAGGGCCTTCACCCACCTCTGCTTGCCCGGGTTGATGGTTTTCTCGTCCACCATCCGGTCGAATGTGGTGAAGATGTGGTCCAGGCAGCCGTTGTCCCCGAAGGCCCCCCACTCCATGTTGATGCACATGCGGCCATCATTCCCCTCCACAGTGCCCACGTTCCGCATCTCCTCCATGTAGCAGGCATTGGTCCCTGTCCCTGCGGGCCCCGTGCTGGTGTCACCCCCTCCACAGCTCTGCAGAGCTGCTTGGCACCCTGTGGCCATGCCACAAGGGCTGGGGTGGTGTTGAGGGGATCGAGACCCCTGAGTGCAGCAGTGCTCCTCACCTACGATGAGGCCGATTTCACATTTAGGGTCGTCATAGCCGCAGGACATCATGGTTCCCACCGTGTCGTTGACTACAGCTACCACATTCAGCGCAAAGTTCTGCCAAACCAGAGATGGGGACATATGTGGCTTAGTGGCACTGCTGGGTGCAGGGTGACACCCTGGGGACAGATGACTGTACCCAAGCCCTTCCCTACCTCTTTGCGCTGGGCAGCATCCCGCAGCAGCTGGACCACGTCCTGCCCCACACAGCCTGAGGCGTTGAAGCCTTTGGTCCAGTTCAGCAGCACTGCCTGCAAGGGAGGTAGGAGCAGGGGCTGGGCAGCTTCCTTGAACCCCGGGGCCCTCCCCATCCTCAGGGTCTGGAGCCATCCCCTCACCTTATCCAAGCCCAGCTGCTGGCAGGGGAAGGAGAAGGTGAAGCCAAGTGGCAGGGTCTGCTCCATCAGGTCCTGCTTCAGCTGGAAGTCCATGATGCACTCAATGATGTGGTTGAAGAGCTGTAGAGGGGAGCCATGGTCAGCAGGGCCCAGGCTGGGGTGATGCAGCAGGGGCTCTCCCAGCCCCATCTCAGGCCCATGGGCAGTGAGGGGGAGGCAATTCCCACCCCCTCGCCCTCTCCTTGGCCTCACCGCCACACCAGTGCCCTGCACGACGGAGGTGGGGATGACATAGATCTCGCTGGCCATGCGGATGCTGTCCTCTGCCACACGCACCACCAGCACCCGGAAGTTGGTTCCCCCCAGGTCCAGCGCCAGGAATTCCCCTCGCTCTGCAGGGCACCAGCACAGGGCATCAGCAGGGCCACAGCCACCTTGCACCCCCTTCCCCTGGCCCCCAGCCCTCACCAGTGCCATCAGGCGTGGCACGGACGTAGGTGGGCAGCATGCGGACAGAGGATGTGGCATTGGTCTCCTTGCGCAGCCCCAGGTCCATCTCCCGTCTCATGAGCGCCTGGACGCGCTGCAGCTCGGAGAGGCTGAGCCGCAGAGGGGCCAGCAGCTGATCCACCTCCCGGCGCTGCTCCGCCAGGCGCAGAGCCACCGCCGTCACCATGGCTGCCCCGCGCCCGGTCCCATCCACCGAGGGCAGGAGGGTGATCGTGCACTCCGGGGCCAGCAGCCCCGCCACGCTCTGCAGGATCTCCCCAAACCTGCCAGAGGAGGAAGAGCATGGCAAAGGCCGGGTGCAATGCATCCCACTGGGGTGGGAGCCCCGCGTCCCTCCTCACCTGGGGTAATCTCGGTACAACTCGCCATCCACCCCGATGTTGACCGAGAGTTGCTCCAGCTCCCGGCTCTGGCACATGTGTGTGAGGATGGCAGCCAGCCCCGCGGCACAGAGCGTGGCAGAACGGCTCACCACCACCCGGCAGACCTGTTGCACCCGGCAGCAATCCCGCTCGCTCGGCTGCAGTCCCAAAGACTCCAGCATGCTCCTCGTCTTGGCCATGCCATCCTCGTGGCTGCAAGGGAGGACACAGTGCTGGTTATGTCCTCCCCATCACCCGCCTGTCCTCCCAGCCAGAGCAGCTCCTGCTCCCCACTCACCTGATGATCTCCAGGACGTGATGGGTCTTGAGCACATCCTTGTTCCTCAGGATGCCGGTGTTGCTCCCAGTGAAGATCGCTTTCTCAGCAGCCAGGGCGATCAGCACGTGCCGGACGATCTCCCCCAGATAGAGGCTGCCCACCAGCTTCTCAAACCTGTGTGCAGCCATCATGGGGGTCAGTTGTGCCCTACCTGGCACCTCTTGGCCCCTTGAAAGCATCCAGGAGCAGTGCAGGGAGCCCCGTGCTCCTGTTAGTGGGGGCTGACGTGCCCAGGGATGGACGAGGAGCCCTGGGGACCCTCACTGGGGGGGTGGGAGCACCTCTTCTTCCCGGGGTTGGAGGATTCCTTGTCCACGCGCTGGTCGTAGGTGGTCACGATGCCCCTTAGGGTGGTATCGTCCCCGAAGCAGCCCCACTCGGTGTTGACACACATCCTCCCACTGGTCTCCTCCACCATCTCGACCAGTTGTGCCTCAGCCATGAAGCAGCTGTTGGTGCCCACGTCTGTGGGGAGTGATGGGGGTGAGCACTGGTGCACCCCCCCTCCCCACTACCACGCCCTCCTATGGGGGATGCCAGCTGCTCACCTACAATGATGGCAATCTCACAGGCCTTATCATCCTTGCTGGAGGTCATCATGGTGCCCACAGTGTCGTTCATCAGAGCAACAACATCCACATAGAGCTGGCCAGGAGCAATGAGAGAGCATCATTAACCCCTCCATGGGGGCAGCCCCCAGCCAGGCCCCCTCACCTCGTGGCCCCCCACCTCTTCCTTGTTGATGGCTGACTGCAGCAACTGCACAACATCCTTCCCCTCCACATCAGGGCACTTGAAGCCCTTGGACCAGGAGATGAGTTCTGCCTGTGGAGAGCACATGGCCGAGCTGTTGGCCTCAAGCACCACTGATGTGCTGGGCAGGAGGCCGCTGCAGACCGGGGTCAGGGTTATCCCACCCACCTTGTCCAGCTGTGTCTGCTTGCAGCTGAAGGGGAAGACAAAGCCCAAGGGGAAGCGACGCTGGAGGCTGCTGAGGCCAGCCAGGAACTGGTGCAAGCACTTTGCAATGAAGCTGAAGAGCTGCAAAGGCATGGCCAGGGGTTGGTTACAGAAGCATCGCTTACCCAGCACCCAGGCTGCGGGAGGCAGCCCCGGAGCCCTGCTGAGCTGCCATGTGCCATGGCCTCCTCATACCGCTTGCCCCTTGCCCTGCGTGATGTTCATGGGTATGTCAAAGATCTTGTACATCACTTGAGGTCTCTGGTTCCCGTCACCCAAGAGGGTTACGCAGAGGGTCCGGACATAGTTCTGGCACAGCTCCACCACCAGGAAGTCACCCTTCTCTATGGGGGAGCAGAGGTGGTGTCAGGCAGAGACCTTTGCTGGGGCAGATCCCCTATAACCTGCCCCTTAACCTCTCCCAGGGACAGTCACCCACCCATGGGAGAGGCTCCTGAGAGCCTGAGACCACCACAGGAGACAAGAGAACCAGTTCCTGGCCTCTGGTCCTGCACCAGGGACTGGCAGAGGCAGTGCAAGGGCAGTGCATGGACAGAGACCAGTGCACCCCTCCCCAGCACCCCAGGGCCAAGTCTGTAGGGGGCTGTAGGTAGCAAAGCAGCCCATCGCCAGGACAGGCTGCCTTACCGGTGCCATCGGGCATGGAGCAGATGAAGGTGGGCAGCATCTGCATGGTGGCCTGCGCATGCATCTGGCGGCTCAGCCCCTTGCGCATGTCCTGCATCATGTGGCCCTTCAGCACCTGCAGCGTCTCCAGCGGGACCGTGAGTGCCCGCAGGGCTTTCTGTACCTGGGGATGATGAGCCTGGACCTTAGTGCGGGTCTGAAGGGCAGGGATGCCTCTTGCTGGGTGCGAGGCAGGGATGGGCCTTACCGGGGAGCCGGCAGAATCGCTGTGCTGGCCCCGCTGTTGGCTCAGTGAGGGCCTGTGTGGAGGGAGCTGGTGTCACACGCAGAGCCCCAGCCCGCAGGGGGACACGGCTCTGGCCTGCCCAGTCCCGAGCAGGATTTTGGGGCCCATTCCCGACTCTGCCTCCCACTTCCCTCCGTGTCCCAGCTCCACAGGGTCACAGCCTCAACAGCATCATTGCTTTGCAGTGTCTCCCTATTACAACTGTGACCCGGCAGCCGGAGGCAGACGACGCCGATGGGGGCCGGGGGATTAAAGGGGCTGCCCCTGCCTCACCCTGCCCGCCTGTGTCCTCAACCTGCGGGAGGCCAGAGGCCGGTCTGTGCCCCGCCCGGAGGGCACAAGGGGGGATGCTGAGCCCCATCCCCGGCCCCGAACGCGGCTCCCCCGCTCCCAGCGCCGCTCGGCCGCCGGCGGGCCGGAGCCCCTCACCGCTGCACGGGCGGTCTGCCCCGGTCCATCGAGCCCAAGGCCCGCCGCGGGAGGCTGCGCGCAGCGGCGCTACCGGTGCTCTGCTCCTGGGAGCTCCCGGGCCCCCTGCCCGTAGCTCGGCGGCGCTCGGGGCTGCCCATGGCGGACGGCCGGCAGCAGAGCCCCGGCGGTACCGTTACCAACGCCGCCGCCGTTACCCTGGCGACAGGAACGGCACCCCCGGGCGCCCCGGCCCGCCATTGGCCGAGCCGCTCGCCCTGCCGCAGCCAACGGTCACCCCCCCCCCCCGCCCCGCACGGGCCGGTCCCGCTCGCCTCACTTCAGATCCCAGCTTTAACTGGCCCCGCGTTGATGAAGCAGCGCAATGAGGAGACAGACATCCAGCCGGTCCCTAGCAAGGGGCTCTACCGCAGGGCCAGAGCGCTCCTGGGGAACGGGGGACAACACAGCCTCGTCCAGGCTCCATCCCCCCCGCAGGCACACGGCAGCCAGGGAAGCCAGCAAGGACACAGGGACATCGCGGTCACACTGGTCTCCACATCCACTGACTGCAGCAGGCAGCTGGCACGGAGGTGTCCTTTTCCCACCGTGCCCATCCACACAGAGCAACCCCTGCTCAGGAGAGCCCTGGGCTCGCAGCACCCCCCCAGAGCCCAAGGCCAGGCTGTGGAAACGTGATTTTGGATGCACAGTGAGCCGTTCCTCCTCTCCTCCCTCCAGTGCCTCCCATTTCCCCAGAGAAAGCCAGCACAGCTCCTCAGTGTTGCTGCAGTTTCATAAAAACATACATAAATATATTTCCATTTCTTTAACAGAGAGCAAAGCTGCACAGGCACCTATAAAACACACAGCCACGGCTCCACCCAGCGCTCCCTGCACAGGTCGTACAAAACATAGAAAAGGGGGGGTGGGAGAAGGGGGCTGCGCTAGAACGGGGTCACGGTGCCATGGAGGGGACCTGCTGCCCACGGTGGCCTCAGAACCTGTGCTTCCTCCGGCGGCAGCCTTTGCTCTGCTGCTGGCTGCCCAGGTGAAGAGCCGCGTGTGGCTCCAAGTCTACCACGCAGTCTGTGGCTTCTGAGATGCTGGGTTTCACGGGGGAGACGGTGAAGGGAAGGTGCTGAGGGGAGCTGGGGCTGCTCCCCACCGGCCCCCTGGCTCTGGCTGGGCGAGCAGGAGGGGACTGTTGGTCTCCTAGTCCAGAGAGGGGGGTCCCCGCATCAGCACCTGCAACAAGAGCACATGTCAGCCCTGCCTGGCTGCCCTCTGTCGTGAGCCATGGGCAAGGGAGGAGGGTGCTGCTGGGAACGTTTCTCCCTGCTCCTCTCCTCTTGCGCTTGGATCCATGGAGGGAAGCACGAGTGTGCAGGCAGGGACAGCAGCACCCTGCCACCCCCTCAGGAAGCCGGACATCTCTTGATGCAATGGTTCCGAGCACGCCCCTAGCGTGCACCGGTCCAGCAGGCAGAGGCAGGGATGTTTGCAGCCAGCTGGGTGATGCTGACAACTAGCTAAGCCCCAGCCTCATGCTCTGCTCAGGAGTTACAGACCCCTTCAAAAGGAATTTGCTGTCACAGCACAGTCCAGGCTGAGCGGGATCTAACAGGGGGAGCTGGGAAAGGGCAGCCCTGAGGCAGCCAGGCACAGAGAGCAGCTTCCCACCTGCAGACTTGCTTTCCGAGAGCTCCAGCATCCTGAGGAGTCCCCTCTCCTGTCTTCCAACGTCCTGCTAAGGAGAAAGAACACAGTCACAGTGCTGCCACGAGGGAACCCCAAAGACAAGGTGGCCCCGTGGCCACACGCTCCCCCAGCCCATGGGGTCCAGCTGGCTATAAGAGTGAATGCTGCATTTCCAGGGCTTCCAGCTGAGCACAGCTAGTCACCAATGGGAAGGGCACTGCCCCATTCTCAGCCTGCCTGGTGCCTGATCAAAGGCAACCAAAGGCAGGTAATAAAGCAGAGCATGGTAAGGAGGGAGGATGAGGTGCAGGAAGCCACCCCCAAGCCCAGCCAGTGAGCACAGGGCTGTCACAGGAATGTGAGCACCAGGGGCTCTGCCATGGCTCGGGCACATCTCCAGCACTGTGCTCTGAGGCTCCATCCTGCTCTGTTCTAGTGCATAGGGGCTTGGTGCTGGAGGGAACAGCCAGAAGAGGAACATGTATCTTGTGCTCCCTCTCAGCCCCTGGCAAGATGCACCTGCTCTGGTCACACAGGCTGAGAGAAGACCGCTTGGCCTGGCTGCTCCCTGACTCCAGCAATGCTCTAGAAGGTACTGGTATCCTGGCTGCAGGGTTGGGGCTGCAAAGCACCCCAAAATGTGCTGTGGCAAGAACCTGCAAGGCCAACAATGCCACTAGGAAGCTTTCTAACAGCCCAGCCCATGCCCAGCATAACCTGCTCCCCTGGTGACCTGCCACCCTGGGACAGGCAGGGCCAGAGGAAACACAGAGCCTTGCTGAGCTGTCTCAAATGGCCACCAGCTCCAGCACCTTCCCCCATACCCTGTGCATGTGCCTATGTACAGGACCCCACACACCAGCTGGCTCTGGGGCACAGGGACAGAGCCAAACACCCCCCCCAGAGTTGGTCACATGCAGGAGCAGCCGTGCCCTGCAGTACTCTGAACCACAGCACTTGGCTGTATCCCAGCCAAAATCATCCACCAGAAATCTCATCATTTGCATCTGAATCCCCAGAGGGCTGAGGCCTGTGATGGATTTAAGGGATTATATGAAACTAAGACATCATGTTGCATCTTCATGCTGAGAATCACATTTCTGAGCGCAGGCAAAGCTGTGGCACTGGGGCTTTGCCTGCAGGAACCAGCAGGAAGGCTTGGAAGGACCCTCTCTGTGCTCCACTGGGATCACCAAAGCGGAACAACACAGTGGGGACCAACACCTGATGACTGCCTGTGAACAAGCTGCTACCCATACTCCTGCCTCCCACCTCTAGAGAGGCACATCCCGCACAGCTCCACGTCTCCCCTGGGATGCTACAGTTTGCTCTCAGCACCGAGCAGTTCCCTCTACTCTGGCTCTGAAGCCTTCCCCATGGGAAAGGGCTTGTGGATCAAGTCAGATATGCTTGTCACCCTGACACTGCCCTCCATCTATATTCAGACGAGGAAGCCTGCAGGACTGAGGCGTGCTGTCTGGCAGCGGGACAGTGCTGGCTGCCTGCCTGCTGGAGAGGTTACTGGCAGCTCTGCCGGATTAGCTCACCCCTGGGACAGGTCCATGCTCTCACAGAGTGTCGTGGGAAGGAGGGCAATGAGTTGTCTGGCCACGGAAGACAGGCAATCCTACACCAGGTCAGCTCATCCCATCAACCAGGGAAACAGCTCCTGCTGCCAACCCAGCCCCAAACCCAGCGCAAAGCAGAGGAGATGGTCTGCAGGGTCGCCCCTCACCTTGGCTCTTCGCAGCCTCCTGGTTCCCTGAGCTTGCCTAGCAGCCTGAAGGCAGCTGTCCACATGCCTCTGATACTGCAGCAGTGGCACCAGTGACTTACAGAGGTAGCACTTCTCACACCTGCCAGGCAGCAAAGGACAGAGCACCACATTAGGATTCACCCTGCACTGGGCTCCCAGCCACCAGCAGTGACTCTCCTCCTCCAGGCCACACCACAGAGAAGACATGTCACCAGATCAGGCCTCGCTCAGTGGGGTCAGGCCAGCACCAATCGCAAAGACTGAGTGATTATCAGTTTTCCCTGCCTGTTCCCCTGTATCCTGCTGCTGCAGCAGCGGGACAGTAATCAAATCTGCTCATCTAACTATCTCAAACACCGCTGATTTCTCCCCAGACATAAAGCACCCTGTCAAAATCCACAGAAATGAAGTGCAAGGGCTTTGCAAAGGGGAGTTAAATTCTGCCTGAAAAGCAAACCAAGTGTGTTAAATCAGAGAGACATTTTACCAGGGCTGGATGAACTTGTCTGACTAGTAAATCAAGTCTTTCTCTGCACTGTCTCCATTTTACATCATGCCACGCTGGGAGAGGAATGCAGAGCACTCGCTCCTGCTGGGGGGCTGGCACAGTGTGCTCCTCAGACCCATTCAGTTGTGTAGAAGATGCTCAAGCTCATGCAGGACATCCCTGTCCCCCTTTCCTAAGTGTGCCTGGGAACAGAATTATCCTGGCTGAAAGGAGATGAGGGTCAGGCATGGGTTTACACTCAATTCCACACTGGCTCTCGGCAGGGATTGAACCATGCAGGAGGGCACTGGCTCTTCAGGAAGGGAGGATCCAGCCGCAGAGCTATTCAGGAATGGACCATCTCCAAGAAGAGGCAAATCCCCAGGGACCAGCCCCAGCAGCACTGTGTTCAGTTTGATGAGCAGTGCTCTCATAGTAAAACTCACCCCAGGCTCTAAAATGCTTTTGGAGAGCCCCCATCAAGCAAAACTCTGCAGTACTTTTCCTGTATTTTCTTTCCAGTCAGTGCTGATTACCCAGATAATGTGTCTAAACAGAAGCTGTCCTCTCTATAATTAGCCTAATTCCATTAGTGATGTTGCCATCCACTGTTTGTAACAGCAAAATTGCTTCCATAGCAGGGATTTTACTGTCAGATCCTCTCTTATGATGCTTTGTGTGGGTGGCAGGAGGAGGGGCTGCATGGAAAGACATTAAACAAAGCCACTGCTATTCTGAAAGTCTAATTTAATTAAGAATATCACTACAGGTGCCATATTGACAGCCTCCCTGTCCTAGCCCCTTCTTATCCCAGGGCTACCAAGCTCAAATCTCCCATTAGAAACTGGCTGAGTTAGCACCATTTTAGCTACACAGCTCCCTCCATCCATGGCCAGAGACCATGTACCCCTGACCCGCCATGGATTGGGCTGAAGGGAAATCAGTGCAAAAATAAACAATCTGAGAACAGCAAATTCCTCTTGCTTTGGTTTAAATATAGCCACACTACAACAGAGGCAATGAGGGAAGGCAATTTCTTAGGGAAACATTGCTGGAAAGCCAACGGCCAGCATTTCTACAGGAATAAAGACATCCACAGGCAAGCTAGAATGGAAGCACAGAAACAATCTTGGAGAGGCAAGCATACCTACTTACTTGTCAATGTTTAAGGATGACTGGCCACTGTCACTGCTGGCTGCTTTACCTCTTGCTTCTCTCTGACGCCGGGTGAGCACTGGAGGAGAAACAGGAGGGGTTGGTTACGTGCCATCCACCCCAAAAGCACCCAAAAGCACCCCTACACCATACCTGAACGCAACAAGTTTCAATCACTTCCACTCAAAGCTGCAGCAGAAGTGATGGCAGAGGCAAAGATATACTGCACTGGGACAGGCAGAAGAGGTAGCTGGCCAATTCTCCCTTTTGCAGGGGGGATACTGCAGAAGTATCCCCCTCATGCTTCTTCCCGGGAGCCAGGAGCCATTTCACACTGTAACTTGTCTTCTGCCAGAAGCAGCTGGATCAACAATATGTAGTTTACAGTCATTTTAAAGCTGACTGCAGCAGTGCAACAGCCTGGGAGGAGAGCTACACAGCTGCTCCAGCCAAACTGAGCACCCCGCCTGCTGCAGGAGGGAGTGTGGTAACTGGCAGCTAAGTAAGGAGGGCTGAGAGGGGCTGTGCAAAGGCTCAAGACCCTTCTGTAGGTGTGGTAGGAAGAGCTCATGCTGGAAAGGGAAGGTTACAACAATCAGCCTGCACTCACCCATGTGAACTGGGGGTGATCTATTGTCTGTGTGGGCCTCTGGGTGAAGATCTCTAACAGGGCTAAGCATCAGCAGTGCTGAGAAGGGAGAGGCCAGCTCCAGCACATGTGGGTGGCTAGCAAGATCCTGGCTGACCAGCATGATGATGGGACCAACAATCTCTGTTCCTTCAGCAAGCCCCAGCAGCCTTTCCAAACCTGCTCTCCAAGCATCTGCAGGGAGCACGCCAGAGTGTTGTCTCTTTCAGTTGAATTCCTCTCAGCGTATTCCTGTTGACATGCCACCAGCAAAGATCCTCAGGGAACACATCAGATAGCTTAGCCTGCCTCACCAGGGATGTTCAGAACTCCAGCTCCAAAACAGCTGTCACAGTAAGTACTCTTGGGCAAACTGGCTAAGGGGACAATGCAGGGAGCTATTTTACAGCCCAGTAACATTGCTTCCCACACTCTCATTAGGAGAAAGGTCTGAATCGAAGGTATAGGCATGACAAACCTCTTACTGTTAGCATATTATCTGTCATAAAGGGGAACACAAGATTTTGCAGAGAACAAAGGGAATCCTTCAGAATTTTAGGAAAACCTCACTTCCAGTGTTAGACAATCCTAATATCTATCCATGATGCTGATACAACATGGCCTATCCCTTAGGAGCAATCACTGATCTGCAGCCACAACGAGCAAATGCACTGCAAGATACTCAGGAGCTGTTGGGGCTGACTGGAGACATCCACGCTGAAGAACGGAGCTTGAGGGTTTCCTTGGATGTGGGTATTGTCTTGTTGGCGATGACCGATACCAACAGCTCATTTCTCACAGGCACAGAGGCGGGCATTTCTCTTTGACTTGGCCTGGCCCAGACTCGAAGTGGCAGCCTGACATGGGGGACTGATAACAGCAGCCACCCCCCAGGCCACCCCAGCCTCCCAAGAGCCCAACTCACATGTGTGTTTGACAGCGTGGTGAGAGCCGCTCTCCAAATCAGCGTGCACTTGTTAATGTTCGTTTAACAGCGCCTCGGGAGCCTCATGCACCAGCTCAGGTGCTAATCAGTTCTAGCTCCTTCCAAAAGCAGTGAACACATCTGGCAGAATGGCCCCATCAGAGATGTCTGGGCCCAGCTCTGCAGCTAGCCATGGGAAGCCACCCAGCTGTGCTGCTGGAAACAGAGGCACAGGAGGGAACAGGGCTGGCTGGCAAGACACAACCCCTCACAAAACATGGTGCTCACCTCAAGGAAGGGTCTTCAGAACACTGGAGAAGACATGCCATGGGGAAAATCCCCACCACAGAGCAGTGCTGACCCACTGTGTGACAGAAGCCTTGTAACTCTCCCAGGTGCAATGCTCATTGCTGGGTCAAACACACTCTGTAGCTCAAGAACAACCTTCTCCCTGATCTGGCACTTCTGGTTGACCCAACCAGGTTCCTCCTCACTCTCACCACCAGCCGTTCCACTTTCTGTGCAGGATCCTATCACAGACAGGCCCACCAGCATTTTGTCCCTTCTCAGAAGTGATGAAGCTTTCTCCTGCACCCCTTCTGTTACTCTCTGCTGTGTCAGTGCCACTTCTATTGATGTCAGGAGCTTTTCAACAGCATCAGTGCTGCTGATGAAGACTGACACCAGGTTGCACTTGAGGCTTTGGGAGGAAGGGATATACCAAATGCTCATTTTCCTGGGATCACTTGGGAACTAAGAGGTTGGAGCATGTAGATGAAGGGCAAGAGGAACAGAGCATGTCACAGAGCTCAAGACCATTTGCTGTACTCAGTATCAGCCAAGACTCATTTCCAGACTGAGACCAGCAGATTCCTGCTTGGCAACAGCAGCAGATGCAGTGACTCCAGCACTCCCATGTCACACAAGCGAGCCCTTCAGTAAGCGCATGCAGGAAGAGCGAGCTGGCACAGTGCTTCCATGGCTCCACTCCTTCACTTGGAATTAGCACCAGTCACTGAGCTGGAAACCTGTGACCCGCACCTCCCCTAGCCTGGTACAACAGCAACAGCAGGCTCCTCTTTGCTGTTTACTCAGACCACAGGAAAATGGAAATTCATGAGCAGATTCTCATCCTGCCCAGGTATGTGATGCTCTGGGCATTCGGCCAGGGCAACCATGTACATATGTGAGGGAAACAACTCCAACTCATCTTGCCCAGCTACCTCATGTCCTTAAACATCAGCCAGGCTGCGCTGGCCTCCTGATACGTAACACTGAAAGACTTTGGTGCATGATTACAAGAGGGATGAAGAGAAGTAAAACCAGCAAGGCGCCCATCCTTTTGTAACCATAAAACGAAGCCCACTGACAGCTACAGTCTGCAGGACTGCATAATCTGCAGTTCTAGAGACATGAGGACTAAATCCAATTAGTGAATTCAAAGACAGACCAGGCACCCCTGACTCAATGCACCAAAGGCAAACTGAAGCCATCTTTTCTTAACAGATCAGGCCATGGCTTAGAGGGCAGAACTTTGATTCTTCTTTCACACAAGGCTGTTGCTGTGCTCTCAAGACACCAGCAGCCAGCCAAGAGCACACAGTGCTGCAGCAGTAGAGAACAGCTTCTGGACCCACACAGGAGCTGGCATTTGCTTCAGAAGACAACTCTCCCACCTCTTTTTTCTCCCCATGCATTAGCTTTTCCTACGGATTTTGTGCTAGTGGTGGATGCCAAGGTAACAGCGCTGGAAGCAGAGTCCTTTTGTACCTGCACAGCTGTGCCAAACTACCCTCTGGCCTCTGCTCAGAGCTGAACATCAACCCTGCCTATTGAACTCAAACCCCACTGACCAGCCCATCAGCTGAGACCTCTTTGCATGACTGTTGCCTTTGTACAAGCACTTGGAACTGGAGCGAAGTGCCACAGAAGCCAGGCAGGAATTGTGATCCACATTACATCCTGCTCCAGGTCCAGGAAGCCAATTGTCCTGCAGACAGCCTTGGTGCAAACAGCACTGGCATCACAGACTGTTACGGTTAATAAAGCCTGGTGTCTACAGAGAAAATACTAGAATAACTGGCAATAGAAAACCCAAATTACTGTGATTTTGTCCCCAAACCATCACTCTGCTAAGAGCCATTGTTGCAGACCAAAATCTCTTTTATTTCAGGCTGGTTTTCTTACGGGTAGACTGTTCTGTACAAGCCAGAACAGCAGAGTAGCAATTCCAAATTAACTACCCTTACAAACACCCCCAAGGAGACCAGTCTGGAAGCAGAGTGGAAAGGCCAGCCTTGAACTCTGTCCTGTGGAACACCAGCACCAAAGGAAAGAACAAATTCTCTCACACTGCCACAGAATTCAAAGCCTTTTCCTCATCACAGTGAGGATTCCCCAGGATCAATGGATATACTCACAGTCCAGCCACACCAGGGACCCGATTACCACAGGGCCAAAGACATTCCTGCTAAAAGGCATACTAAAAATTCAGCTCCATTTTCTAGCACAGATAAAACCTTTATCAGTGTTGAGGATGGGAGAGGAACTGTGCTAATTTGTGATCTGCTAGAGCTGAACACTTGCATTAGCAGCTGGTTTGTGCCTGCAGAGAGACCTGCCCACCAAAACTAAGCACCAAGCAACATCAGCCACTACTCTGGTTCCTGTTATCTTGACAGGACCTATGTCATATCCCAACAGATTCAGTATAACAGGAACTTCATATTTTAAAACTACATCAACTCTGCATTAAGATTACATGGTGAAACTTCTTCCTGCTAGACAAAAGCAGAAGTTACAGTTCTTGTACTAGCTCTGTTTTGCTCAAATTGCTTAAACATCACAGATTTAGGTTGCATTTAATAACCCAGTGTGTAACTGAAAATTATATATTCCCAACCTAAAAAGTTAATCTTATTACAAGCTATTACTTTGGTATTAAGTGACATTGTGCTAACATAGACTTCACATTTCAAGCAGCAGCTAAAACATAACTTATGAGTATGTTGATAACCAACCGGTGTTGTTTGTTCACTTAAGCTCTACAAAGGTTGGCTATGGAAAACTGATACAGAGAAGACTGAAGAGGATTAGTACAGGCATTCTGACTGTGCTTCTATGCCTCACTTCACATGAAGGAGAAAAATCCCAGCTCCCAGATCGATAGCTATCATTCTGCAATTTTGGAGGAACAAGAGGGAAACTTTTCTGCAATCTCTTGCAGCCGAACAAGCCATTTTTGCACATACAAATGTCAGATTCACTGCAGAGCACAAGCCGTGCGTGGAGTGGCACAAAACACTCTCCTTTCTCAAGAACCCTGAAGGATGCTCACCCATGGGGCTCAGGAGCTGCCATTTTCTACCACTGGCAGATTCTCTGCAGGTCCTCAACAGAACAGACAATAGATATGTCCTATGGCATCCACCCTACTGCCTGAAGCATCCAGGGCTAAAACCTGTGGGTATATTCTGTTTGTACACTTTCCAAGGGACTAATAATGTGATGAACTATGAAGTCAATCGGAGAGAAGATGTCTTTGCGCAGGAGATACTGGAAACACAAGAACCTCTGATAACACTCTCCTGGCCAGCTTGGAGACTGAACAAGCCAGAGTGAACCACCTCCCTCCATGCCAGGCCATGCACCAAACATCCCGAGAGGGACAAGACTGCAGCATCTGGCTTCAAGTAACAGGGAAGTGGACAAACACAACGAGCAGACCTGGGCTGTCCTTGCCAGCCTCCTGTCCTGTGACACCGTTGCAGTACATGGCATGTGGCTCAATCTCTGCAGAGGGAAAGCCTTGATCGCACATGGGGCACAACACACAGTCAGCAGTGGTAGGGCTGCACTCAGCCACGGTCTTGTCAGTGTCTTCATCTCCACCAGCCTAAAGAAGAAATAACCAGGCAGAGAGTTAATTGTGCCATTTCTCTTTCTTTCCCCCAGCTGCAGAGCTCCATGCTGTCTGGGAGTCACCCTCCCACAGACTCAGTTTTTCTTGGAAAGTTTTATTCTTCCCTCATCATACACTGGTCAGAAATAACACCACTGGCTGAGTAAACTGTGCAGCACTAATACCTAATTCTTCTTCCAAAGGCAGTATGTCCTTCTGAATCACAGTGAAGCCTCCCTGCACAGCCATGCACACCATTTAAGGCAACCATCACCTGTACTACCACGGAAAAATGGCAAAGCTTCCATTAATCAGGAAAGCTCAGAAGCGAAACTGATGGAAAATTCATGGGGCAAGGCAAGAGTTCAACACCTGAGTTGTGCTCATCAGTTTCTGGACATGATCCACGCTACATAGGCAGCACTGTCTGTGAACACAGCTTCCCCCAGGATGAAAGGATGTACTCTTAGGGAGTTTGGGGAGACCACTGGGAAGCTCCTCCTCTCTAGAGGAGGTGGCTGGAGCAGTCATCAGAGGCAGCACACATCAAGGAGAAAGGCAACGTTATTAAAAACCCATGTCACAAAGAATTACTAGCAGTAGCTTTTCATCAGGGCAAAGTGACAGCCCATGTTTGTTCTCTGGGTGCTGTTACCACTCACCAATACTCTCTCTTTCTGCACTGGTTACACAGCTGCAGAGGTGCTTCACTACCCACCCACAGAGATACAGCCTGATCCCTACACTACTGATGCTCCCAAGGCGCAGCAGACTGCTGCCATCTCACTCATAACTAGATCTCTGCCTAGTCAGGCATGCTACAAGACTTCTCCACATTTAAGAACCTTTCCCTCCCTGCAGTGATTTTAAAGTTATTTAAATATTAACCACATAGAAGAAATCTATAGGAGAATAATACAGGAGAGTTTTCTGTTAGGGCTAAGCAGTGACATGCAGACAGTGTGCAGCAAAACTGCTGTCTGCTTCCCTCCAATGGTATAATTTCAGGGAAGCAGTAATTGGGGTCAGCCAAGATGCTGGGTGCCACCAGAGTGCTTTGTCACATTACTCAGTTTATTACTTGCCTTTCCAAATGAGGGTCTGATCCTGATTTTTATGTCTTAAGGGGAAGGAAGGTGGTTTGTTGACTCGGAACAGCTATGCAAAGAATTGCAGGACTGGGCCTCAAAATAAAAACCCAACCCACAAAATGCCTTTCTTCCAGACACCGTCTGAAAGGCCACAGCACTGAGCTCCAGGAACACCTCTCTCATTTCCAGGGAGGCTCTTTGCCCTGGATTTCTGCACAAGAGCTGCCACATGAGTTCCTCCAGCTGAACACAGGCTGCTGAAGTACATCTCTTACAGCATTAGCACTCGTACCTTCCTCTCGCATCTCAGTGTCCCTACATCTTGCAAAGTCCTCATTGTGGGGTGTCACACAGAGGAGTCATAAAAAACAAGATGTGTCAGATATGAATGATCAGATCAAACCTGCATTATCGTCGTCAGACAACACACAGAAAAACCATGATGGGAAAAGCAGCAGGCACTGCTCCTTCTAGCTGCCATTTCTAAAGCAATCTTAGGAGATCTCTGATTCTGCACACCCTGCCCGCCTACATTTGGTGGTAAATTACTAATTTTAAATGGAAATGCAACATTCTGTAACAAAAGACACCACGGTCCCAAAACTGCTTGTACAAAACAGTGCTGTAACAGTCTGCAAAACCTCAACTGCAGAACCAACCACCCCTGTCACAGGCTGAGAATGTTGCCTCTCCTCTTTAGCAGAAAAAATTGCTTACAAGACATAGCACTTCCAGCCAACAGCCAAGAGCAATGCTAGAGGCTGAGCTCAACAAGAAGATTACTGTGCCCTGGCTCAGCATCTGCTAGGAAGAAGTCAGTCCCTGCGGTTTGTGCTCACTCCATGCTAACTGCTGATGCACCGTAGCTGTTTCTGCTGTCTTCCTGGAGGGCCGCAGGCTCTGGAATGATACCTTCTGCCAATGATAATGCTGTCAAACAATCCCTAGGAAGCCCCACAGCACCACTGTGCTGATCACCTTCTACTGTCGAGTCAGGGGTGTGAGAACCAGGCACTCTCTGCAAAGCACAAGGCACAGGGCAGCGTCCTGGCCACAGCCAAATGGTCATGAACATGCTTCTGTGGCTGCCCAGCTCTGCACAGACCCACCACCTCCCACTGCTGCAGTCTCTAATTGACTAAACAGTGCTTGGAGATACCTGCAGAATGAAAGGCACATGAGAGCAGAAGCTGGTTTATTAAGAGGCCCACGACTATGAGACATCAGCACTGCAGACGCACTGTACAAGCTACAGACTCCCAGAATGAGCTTTCCACAAATGAGTCCTCTTGTTGAGAGCTGTACGACTCTGTATTCATGTACCCTGCCAGAGGAGTACTTGGCAACCCCTTTGATATCACTCTCTAAATTAATAGACAAAGGGAGTTTTATCAGAAGCAGGAACTAAAGTCAGACGTCGGCACAGCGGCAGCTGCGAAGCAATTGCTGTGCAGGTGTGACAACGGGGAAAGGAGCCACACAGTGCACATCTGCATCTGAGGTATGAGGATGGCCCTGCCAGGGCTCCCTGGGAACTGTTCCTGCATAGAAAATAACAGTCCCAGGCTCAGGTCATTCTGCCCGGACTGCAAACCACCACCAGCCCTCAGCACTTCAATGTCGTCTTTATCGCAGCCCAGTCTCTGAGTGAACCTCTCCTTTATCAGCCTCTTTGAAATGGTGCGTGGAGAACACCAAAGTTCAGATGACGGTAACAGGGAAAAGCACATCACAATACAAGTGACTGAGGTGTTGTGGACTCCCCTCACAGCTCCTGGGGTCCCTTTGCATCGCTGTCCATCACAGCACTATTATTTCTGAGCATGGGCAAACACCAGCACTGCCACCCCCACTGATGGCATCCTCCAGCACAGCAGTGTGTGTGGCATAAAACAACAAGCTGGGATTTATAACAACTCTCTCCAGCTACAAGACTGAAAGGCTCCAGAAGCAGCTGCAAAGAGCCCCAGCCAAAAGGGACTGGAATTACAAAGCAGTGGAGAAAAAGTGAAGAGGCAACTGTTTGTCAGGATCCCAACAGCAAAAATCCAAGCTCCCAGCTGCCCAAGGGGAAACACCAGCACAACTCTGCTGAATCAAGGCCTAGAAAGCAGGACTGGAAACAGGACCCTTCCCCAGCTTCTATGCCTTTTACCTGCACAGGTGCATCTCCAGGGCCTGAGCAGAGCTCTTCTCCCTCCACCTCAAGAGCTTCCTGTGGACTCGTCTGGGTCTCTGCAGAAAAACACCTCCACATCAGCGCAGGTTTGCAGCCCCCAAACCCCCTCCTCACTCGTGGATGTAACTCAGCCCACTTCTTTACAGCGCTTTTCACAGCTTCAAAACATCTTTTTTAGGCTTGCCACCAATGTTATCAGACAATGTGCAACGACACAGCTGGATGAGGGGTTAAAGTCACAGCACGCTGGTGTGAGGACAAAGCCACCTCAGCTTCACGGCTTCATGGGGAGTGAGACTAGACACAGGGAAATTGCGTGGGATACTTGCTGGGACAGAGACAAAGCAAGAATAGAGCTCTCGCATCGAGACAAACAGAGCTTCCCTTCTGCAGCCTGCCTCGCAGTCACACCTCCTTTAGACCTCCACGTCTTCCTTAGCAACAAAACCTGCCTCCAAGCACCACCACTACCCCTCTCTCTCCAGCTGCTCGGGAACACGAATGGGGTCCTCATGAATGTTCTCACTGAAAACCCTGAACTGGAAAACCTCAAACACGGTCGGGCAGAGCAAGGAAGAAAAACTCGTTGGTCGCAAACACGTTTCATTAATGTAGTAATTTAAGCCAAAAAAATTATCTCAGCTCTCACACTTCACACATTTTGACACTGAAAATCTTGACTGCACTGAAGAGATCATTCCTGACACCTTGGCATGGGTGATCCCTCCACATCCATTTACATCCTGGTGTCTCTTCAGCAGCAAGTCCCCAGCTATCTCTGGTCACAGAACCATCTTTGAGGAAATGGGTCCAAAACCAGGGAATCAAATTACATTACCTGAATAATTTCAGCCCTGACAAACAAGACTGGGAAAAAAAAATCTCTGTTGGAATAACCTGAAGTTTTTCTTTTTTTCTCTGAGTTTTAAAAGTGTGGAACTTTCAGTGCAAAGTTCAGAGCCTTTTCAAGTGCCTCTTACCTGGGCAGACAGAGATCTCTTCTTCCACAGAGTCTTCTGTGGCAGCATCTGGGCTCCTTTTACTGACAAGTGGAGTCAACACAGAGATGCTGTTCAAAATATAAATACAGTATCAGTCTCCAATGCAGTAGGTGTGACAGCCACGCCAGCCTGCCTCACGCAGCTCAGGACAGCAGATGATGCCATAATTTCCAAGCAGTCAATATCTGATAGCCAGAAATAGGACAGTCAGACCAGGCTAACAGCAAAATATGGGTATAAAAAGCTGTCCTAAGCAAAAAACCTGAAGGGAACGTTTTTATCTTCCAGAAGCCCTTGACAAAAAGGCAATAAGGGCCACTATCACATGTCAAGGGAGCAAAAACATCTGCTCACAACTGTGGGACTCTCAATTCTTCCTACTCTTGGAAGATTTGGGAGCTGTGCAGGTATCAGCAATGTGCCTCTTTCTATCTAGGGAAGGAAATCCCCAGAGAGAAACGACACAGAGTTGCTTTATCCCACCGTTCCCTCCTCACACTGCCAATTTTCTCCCTTATCACTGTGCACAGCAGCCAGAAGCAGCACGGACGCAACAAAAGGCAGGGCTTCCCTGCAGCAAAGCCCTAACAGCATTAGTGTGGCAGTTCCTCTTGTTTTAACCTTCGGATTCCTCCTTTTCTTCTCTCCCTCCCAACACTGCTCAATGTCTTTCTGGAACATGCAGGCACTGCTGAGTAAGTCTGGCACCCATGCTGACACGCGCCGCGCCTCGCGTGGCTCTCTGATGAGTCTGATCAAGTATGCAAGAACACACTTTAAAAACATGAATCCCCACACTGACAAATAGAAAATTTATTAAGCTCAACCACAGGCCTTGGAGAGCAGAGAACAGCCACTGCTGATTTATGATAAATAACAAAATTCCGATAGGAAATCTCAAGTGGCTTTTCTCTCTAAATAAAGCATCTCAGAGCATTTGTTATGAAGCCAGGCTGAGTGTGTTTTACTCCGTGTCTAACATCAGGGCTCACTTCAAAAGAAGTCACACAAAACAACTTGCTATGACATTTATAAAATGGGCTAATCAATTTGAAGTCAAACCACATTTCTTGCTACACCAACTATCTCCTGGTAACAAAGCCTATAATCATTTATTAAAACCCCAATGTACCCTGCTCCACACCAAGTGTAAAACAATCAGGCAGAGCAGCCCACAGAAAGCAAAGCAGCTTCTTCCCACTGCTCCGCTTCCTAAACTGCTTCACTACCTCCAGACAGCTCTGAGCCGTGTGTTGCTGTGAAGTGCTGCTGAGGGCAGCTGGTTGGGGTGCCTGAGCCTCACCCGAGAGAGGGCTGTGCTGGCAAATTACCAGGAGCCAGATGGCAACACTTGATGTGCACAAAACTGCAAAGGCTGCAGCCACTTCTTGCCTTGCTGCAGATGTGCCAGCTGCTGACAGAGGGGCCGCAGCACCCAGCTGTGCTCTGGCCCCAAGAGGGGCAGCCAGGAGCTCCTGGGAAGCTTGGGGAATGCCCTGAACTAACCCCACCAGCCACACCAAAGGGAAGAGAGAGCTCCCTCTCTCCCCATATACAGCCCTGGGCCCTTCTGCCTTAAGGAGAGGGCAGCGCTGCAGAGCGCACACCTCAATGCCTTCCATGCAAGCACAAGAGCTCAGACCCTGCTGTCAGAGACCCATTATCCTCAGCAGCAACAGCAGTACCAGGTCCTTCCTGCTCCCCAAGGAGAGCTTTAAGCTTGTTAGAAAGGTGCAAGCAAGAGGGATTTTCATACTCTGCACACTGATATTAACTGCTCAGGCCAAATGCTGTTAGATCAGAAAAGAGTTGGCATTTCTGTTCCAAAGCAGGTTTAAATTATAAAACCCAGCAAATTAAAACCATGACATTCTCTGGCCTCTCTTGTAACTTGCTCCTTGAATCATCTCCCATTTGCCCTTCTCCCACAGCCTCTGCTGCAGAACTACATTCCACAGGAAGGAGAAGGAAAAAACGGAAAAGAGGAGTAGGCTTAAATCTGAAGAAAATCATGTTGACTTGTCCCACACCTGTCATCTGCTGAAGTGGCTTTTCTGGAGCACTGCACTCTATCTTTGGCTGATAGGCAGTGCCGTCTGGCTTCCTCCTCCCTTCTTTCCTCTTCAGCAGTAAGGCAAGAACATAAAAATACACACAGAAATCCAGTAAACCCTCCACCGTGCTGCCTATGTGCCTTCCCAGGCAGACCACGTGATGGCATCGCTATAACTCACCTTCAGCTCACCTCCCCATCTCCACAGCTTTAGGGCACCATGTCACATTAGCTTCAGAGGGCAAGGATCAAGTCCTCCTACTTGTACAAGCATGCACCTTGCATGTTTTATAAAGTAATACGGGTCACTGATCTCTTCTCCCCAGTGGTGCCCCACCTCTCTCCCACACTGCTCCAGATCCATGCATTTCCAGGAATACCCAACAGCAGACAGCTTTTCCAGCAAGCCCTGCAGTGAGCCCCAGTGAGACTGCACCCCAAAACATCGCAGGGAGAGTGGCATGGCCCCCATCACTAGAGTGAGCCCCACGTTCTGAAATCACTGCCCTCACCTCTGTGCGACTTGCATGGGTTCCCCTTCCTCACGTGCATCGTCTGCAGGGAGCGCCTGGGAAGCCTGGAAAGGAACATTCTGGTGTTATGCAAACAACGTACAGGGGTAACCAGGTTCTGTCCCTGACATCACGCTCATGGCCAAGTATCCATCCTGAACCAGGCAGCTCTTCCCCTCCATCACTCCTTTCAGTGAGGTGTTCCAGCAGCACCCTGAGATAAGACCTGGCAGTACTTTTTGTTGCCCTGCTGTCTAGACACGTTCCTGGACATTCCATGCCCATCCATTCAGGCCAATGTTGCCCAGTACCTTCCACACCCTCTGCCTGTTCCTAGCACCTATCCTGATGCATATGTAAGCAGCAGCCACAGCTCTCCTCCATCTCCATTTGTACTGAGCTGGGCAACCCACGGATTGTAGCGTCCCCTCACAGTCCCTCAGCTCCCCAGCAGGCCTCACCTCCTCCAGTTTAAAATGTATTTGCCTGAGCCAGTGTGACCTGATCAACTGGTACAGCCCATGTCTGAGCATGAGAAGTGCTGCTCTGAAATTTTGTGTAGATAACATCTGTGGCATTTTTCTTGACTGGGAATCAGGTGTCCCATCAAAGAGAGGGAACAGATTAACCTGCACAATCTACAGCTGGTAAATCCCTGTGCATTTATCCCATTTTTCATTTAGCTCTACGACTTATTCTTCCTGTTAAAATTTGTTCAAAAGCCTTATGCAGTGCCGAGGTCAGGCTAACATGCCAGTCATTACCCAGCTCCCTTTCTTCTTCTCCAGCGTGCATGTTACACTTGCCATTCTCTAATCAGATGGAATTACAACGGTTTATTAGCAGTCCTTGCTGTCAGGCCTGCAATTTCTCATGCTAGTTCTCAAAGCAACTCAAGGGGTTTTCCTCCCCCTTCCTCGAGTCTATTAAACTCTCCGAGTTTGATTTCTACCACAGGTTTCAACTTCAATCAGCTCCGCTCCTGTATGGCTGATGCACTTCCCCAGCAAGCCCCAAAACAAAGCCTCCTGTCAGATTTCCCTAAAGTGACTCTAAGCCCCCAAATATTCTGTTTTATCTACACTGTTCTGCACTTCTTCACAACCTACCTCACCATTAACATAAAACACCACACCTCCTCTTTTATTTTTATTTCTCTTTTTTCCTGAACTGTGCATATTTTAATACCTCTGCTCTGGTCATGAATACTGGGCCATGCTTCTGGTTTTCCTACTACATATAAGACATGACATGAATTCACTAATTCAGGTCATCAGACTAACTCTCCAGAATGGAGTCTTTTCCCTCCGAATCTTTTAAAGACCAAGTGTCCCCTAACTTAATTTGAAAGGCTATGAAATAATTTATTCTATTAGCACTGAGGTTTGTTAGTGCAGGTTCCCAGGCTATCAGGTCTCCTGACAAGAGCACTGGCTCTGTGCAGACATCCCTGTCAACAGCAGTTGGGCACCGCCAGGGTGGGAGGTCTCTGCCTACTCCAGGTGAGGGTTTCAAAGGAGAGGTACAGGCAGCCCCCTTTAAGCACATCCCTTGCACCTCCACTTTACTGGTACAAGACACAGCACGAGGCTTTTTCAAGGAGAGCTTTGAATCCCCAGCCCCATCAGCAAAGCAGCCCCAGGGGCACTGGGGGGCCCCAGGGCAGCACAGGCGGCAGGGTCTGCAAGCGATGCAGCACAGCGGGGACACGACTGCTCCAAGCCCCTCCTTTGTCAGTGCCAGTGGAATTGTATTTGATAGAAGGAGAAAAAAAATGGAGACGAGGCAGAAGCAAACATCAAACATATCGATCCTGCAAGTAAATCACCTGCACTGGCCTCGGTGTGCGACTGCACAGAGGGGCGAGGGAAAGGAGCAGCCGCTCAAGCTGGGTGTGATAAGGCAGATGAAAGGGCATTTGAAAATTGTTTCCTCTCAAGTAAATAGAAGACTGGCAAGGGGTTTGGGCAGGGGATGGAATGCTGAAGGCTGCTTCCCTTCCCCCTTCCTGAGTTTTTCACCTTAAAAATACCAGAAAGGCTGCGCTTACATAGACATTACAGCTCCTCGAGCTCTTGTGGTCAGGATGAGTGCATTACAAGTTCCCACTCAGTGCCACTAAACCCTCTTTTCTCCCCAAGTATTAATTAGATATTAGTGTTAAACAGATGATATAAAACTAAAATACCCCACAATTTTCAATACTGATTAAGAGTTCATGCCCTTCCCAGCTGCTGCAGCTCTCCAAGGGCTTTAGCATACACCTCCACAGACCTGCAGTCACCCCAATCTTCCAGATTAAAAACACCTCCCATTTCCATAGGAAAAGCCAAAGAATTAAAGAAAGCAGTTTGCCTGAGGAACCTTTCAGGTCTTTTGTATTTATCCTAAATAAATAAAAACAGGCATAAGACAGTTTCTTTCCACTGCAGGTCACCTCTAAGGCTTGCTTAAATCTGTGTGTGCTAAACCCAAGCCAAAGCACTGTCACAAAAAGTCACATTTCAGCACAGGCTGCTCTGCTCTTTTTCTGCAACCAGAAAATGCAGACATGACGTTTTTCCTAAGTGCTCAATATTACAAGACAGAATATAAATATCACAAAACAAGTTAAGTATCTTTCTAACACCAGGGTAAATGATCAAATACACTTGAAAACAGGAACAACAGAGCTGAGGCTTCAGTCACAGAGAAAATAAAGTTATACAATGATCCGGGAGTGAAGTCATTATGAAAAATGAGGGTTGGAAAAGGCTGACACAAACCTAAAATACAGCAGTAATAAATACTTCATCTGACTAGCAATCTGTTTAAACTTAGCAGTGACAGAAAGCTGCCTTCCGCTCCAACAAGAGCCCTGATGGAGACAGAGGCTGACACCTAGCGTCTAGCAGCCCCAACAAGCAAGCCGAGGAGAAGGTGCCCAACCCCACAACAAGGACGATGAGCACGGCTGCGGTGACAGATCACCCGGGGCATGCAGAAGATGCCTGTGAGCAGGCAGAGCCTTGCCGGCCACAACTGCAGGGAAAAGAGCTCTCACAAGGGTGAAGCACAGACGGACGCAGATAAGCATGTAGGTGCAGAAAAGAAAAGCTGCACTGCAAGGACAAAAGGCACGTTGCTATCTGTGAAGGAAAACACATGGCCATGGGTTTAGAAGCTGTTTTGCCAGAACTGGTGGTGGTCAGCATCATCTCTGTGCTCCCTACACTCCCTGACACACTGCCAGGCTACACCCTTTGGAGAGGGACAACTCAGCTGCAAGTCTTTGTCTCAGTGGTGCATTCATGGACACCTGCCAGGCTGCACAATGGCCCCTGCCATTTGTGAGCTGGGCATCAGCCTCTACACTTCCCCTCTCTTTCACAGTAAGCTGTGTGGCTATGGGAGGAAGTCCCTACGTTTAAGGAGAGCATTAAACAGCAGTGCCTGCTTTGCAAGAAGGGACTGAAGCCTAAAATGGACAGAAGTGCAGGAATGTGTAACATCTGCTCAGTGGTGAAGCTCCTACCTGGCAGTAGCTGGTGGTTGGTTCATCATCAGAAGTGGAGGTCTCTTCTTCCATGCTGTGCCCTGGACTCTCTGCCTCCCTCCTCTTTGAAGGCAGGAGCCAGGTCATGCTCTCAGACTCCTGCCCATCTGGATTTCCATCTTCTGTACCATCAGCAACCCCATTCTCCCTGCTTATGTGCTCTTCTTTCCCAAGCTCATTTCTGCTCAAGGAAGGACTGGGCACAACTGGGTTACCAAACTCCTTCTTATGCAGTAGCTGCCTCTGAGCCTGCTTCAGGCTCTTCTGGTAAACCTCCAGCTGACACAAGATGACTTTGGTGTACTGGTTGGGGTCCACCCCTTTGGGGCAGAAGGGGATGCCCCAGTAGTAGTGCACTGTGTCTCTCGCCTCCTCCTGCTTGTGCTTCTCCTCTGCTGCATTCAGTACACAAAGCTCAGGGGTACTGTCAGGCACCTCGTTCTGCTCTGCTTGCTCTGCAGAAACACACACTTTGGTGGCATGCCTGGGCTGTGAGCTGTGTTTGGTACCTGCTCCCCCACTGCTCCCCCTGGGGCTGCCACACTGTTCTGCAGGCCCACTCTTGGAGAGCGTGGCTGAGCTCCCAGCACTAGCTTCTCCCGCAGAATGGCCAGTGCAGGGCAGGGGCTGCTCTTTTGGTTCGTGGCCTGTTGTTCCAGAAGAGCTGGAAGAGCTCATGAACAGTCTCCGAGGTGTCAGTTGCCGGGAGGCTGAAGTCACCTTCCCAAAGGTGGGACTCAGAGAGATGAGGTCCTCTCCGAGAGAGCTGGATAACGTGTTACTAGAATCACTTTTTGCTGGTGAGGAAAGCTTTTCACTTGACCTTGTCACAGGCTGGCCCTTCCCCGGAGACACGATTATGCTGGATACTAGTGAGCTTTCAACAATTTCCTGGCTTAACCTCTCCAACACTACCAGGGGGCTCCGGGTGACATCCATCTGTCCATTCCCATCAGCTCTGGAGCTCTGTGAGTGGGAGCTGCACTCGGAGCGAGGGGTGTCAGGGCAAAGCGCCAGACCTCCCAGGATCTCAGAGCCTTCCTTCTTGGCGGGCTGGCTTTGGCCTTCTGCACACAACTGAGGGGTTGCATCAGAGTAGTCTGAGGACTGACAGCTCTGAAAAACAAAAGGTTGAGTCTCCAAAAGGCATGTACTCTATCAGCAAAGCACACCAAGGGCTGGACTGCAGACCCCGCATCCTGATCAAAACCCTGTACCCCAAAATAGGGTACAGCTGAGGCTCCACTTCATATGCCACACTCCCTAGGAATGCCACAAAATATCCACTCTGCAACTACTGCAGTTCCAGCTCATGCTAGAAATAGCTAGGCCCCCACCAAAACCTTGTTTTGTGCAGTGTGGCAAAACAAGCACACAAAGCAGGAGCTGAAGAACCCTAGTAAGCCTCTTCACAGAAGCGCACTTACACTAAGGCTCTCAGCAATGGCCTTCCTCAAGAGCTCCTCCTCTTCCTCTTCCTGACAGTTCACTTGTCTGGCTTCTTGCTCACTCATTTTCAGGGCCAGTGCAAACTGTTCCTCTTCAGTCATCTCTACAGCAGAAGAATAGGAAAAACGTCAATTCACAGCCGCAGGTGTATGCAAACAGCCAACATATACCCAGCGTGCTGGGAGAAATGTCCAAGGGTCCCACCTCCCCAGAGCAAAACATCTAAACCTCAGCTGTCCTGAAAAGGTGTCACCAGAACCAGAGCAGGCAACACTAAATGAAAAAGATAACCCAAGTCAGGAACTTCAGCTAGGGTATCTACAGCAATCTAAGCTCTGACTCCCTGGTTATATTAACTGCAATGGAATATTTTATTTGCCCTCATCAAACAATGCATTCTACACCTGCAGAACATGTGTTCAAGGAGAGGAGAAGGACGCATTTCCAAAGCGTGCTCCTTCTTCCATCAGGTAGGCTCAGCAGCAAGGCAGGCTGAAGAACACATCTCCTTTAATACACTTTTTTAGCAGCCAAAAAGCACATCTCGCTGCCTTCTGACACACAGATACCTGCAATACCACAGGAGACCTACCCGAGAGAGAAAGAGCTGCATGTTGCTCACCCTGAGCCGCAGGTGGAAGGCTCAGTGGAGGATAATGTTCCTTGTTCAGTGGTATTATGGAGGATCTTTCACATGCATACATCCCCCTTCTGCTCACATCACCACTCCACTGCATCACTAAGTCAGTCATGCATGGGGAACAGGTTTCCTACATTTGTAACTGCTATTTCAGCAGAAAAATCTTCCTGAAACAGTCAAGAGCAAACCAGAAGCTGAGAATGGCTATTTAGAAACAAAGCAGTTAGTTACTTTGGAAAACACTTATTTACTCACATTCAACCCAACACTTCCACTATGCTTAAAATATATAATGCCTGCAGAATGGAGTGCAGCTTGGAAAACAACTCAACAGCACTCTCAGGAGCTGAAAAACACATCTTCTCACTTGAGACAAATTGACAGATTTCCTTCAGAACCCGCTCCCTCCTTCAGGCAGAATCCTGCACGCACCATCTCATGCATGAAGCAAGAGGCTTGCTGCTGATGGGCCGCAAGATCTTTAAGACACATGATTTGAACAGGAAGGCCGCCCAAGCACAAAACATGCCTCCGCTGCAGCCCATTTCAGGCACAGACATCTCCCTGGATAAAGATGCATTCTGAAGTTGCAGGCTCCCATTTTCTAACCCATCCTCTTCCTACCAGCTGCTCCTGAAACACAGCAGCGCAGCCTCCCTTCAAGCAGCCTGGGATTGCACTGGTCTGAGCACAGCCTGTGCACCACGGCACTACTGCATTGAGGTGCATCAACACAGCAGCAGGCTCTGCTTTGCCCTTCCCCCAGCTCTTTACTAATGGCAGGCTGGTTCTCCTACACCCAAGCGGGATTTGAAGCATTTCTGGACTGTTCCGATTCCTTTATGTGTCCTACTAAACCAGCACTTAGCTGTAGGTTGGGGTTTTGGTGTAAAGGGGTTAATTCCTTAATTTTTAAAGAAAGAGATTGACGTGAAGGCAGAATGCAGTTCACTCAGGGCTCGTGGGGCTCTTTTGTCCTTGGACAAAGTCATTCTGTGATGTTACAGCCAGGAGGGACCAGGGCAGAAAAAAAGCAGCATCCTTTAATGGAAAGCACACGACAGTTCAGTGTATGAAGAAGGCTCCTGTCCCCAAGAACAGCAGTAATACAGTGTTTCCACTATACCAAACACCTCCCCAGCATTCAGATGATTTGTTTCCCTGCCCAAACCATCACAGCAATCATGCCAGACCCTTCAAACTCTGCCACGTGCAAGAAAACAGATTCACGTGATCAGTGCCCCACAACACAAGCCTTTCCACGTGCTTAAATGAAAACAGGGGGCTGAGTGCTCATCAGTTCAGACTATCAACATCCATGAAGCTTAATAAAAAGAAACATTTTTTTGGCGCGTTACTACTGTACATTTTGTTTTCTTCTCCCTCCCTGGCACAGCAATTTCCCCTCTGGAGACAGGGAATGTGCCAGACAAATGCTGCCTCTGGCAAAGAAACCAGTGACAAACAAGATGCACTTAGTGCTTGTTCCAGTTGAGTAGGTGCTCCCGAGATGGGGAAATCTCGAGTTTAAATCCACCTGGCATTACGGTGGGGAGAGCAAAGAGCAGCGCTGCTCATGCCTTCCAGGAGACTTGACCTGCTTTAAGCTGAGTGCTGTGGAGCCGATGGGATTTTGTGCTCCACATCTGATCCCTTCTTAGCACCGTGTATTTTATTAAACCTGATGTTGATTGCACTGGCCATAATTTACCATGATTAGGAACCCAGAGCGCTGCGTTACCCCCGACCAGTGTGTGCAAACAGAGCACTGGAGCGCTCCGGGGGCACGCTGAGGGGCCGGGGCTCCGCAGCCCTTGGGAGGAACGACCCCTCTCCATCTGGACAGACACGCTCCATTATGCTCAACACATCACTCCCGCTGCTGGGTAGGGAAACGCCAGCACCTCCGGCTGGGAATTCTGCATCCCACACTCCAAAATCCACTCTTCACACATCCATGCCAAAGCAGGAGGAAATCCCAGCTCCTCTCCCGGGACCAGGGCATCCAAGAGACCCACAGATGGGAAGGAGGGGTCAGGGAGAACTGTTTCAAAGCTACTGCAGCCCTAAACAAATTAAACCATTTCAGAACCTTTTTAAATGCTAATATGGCAATTTGCTAAGCGATTTATGCTCCAGCTTGACGTCTGCAAAGTGAATTAGATGCAAAACCCTACTAGTTGGAGTTCTAGCACTTACTAGTAAGAGATTTACTCAAAGATAACAGAGATGCAAGATCTCAGTATTTCCACATATCCAAAGGATATGTTTATATGTTATATATGTTTATATGTTATATATGTTATATATATATATATATATATATGTTATATATGTTTATATGTTATATATGTTTTACAATAAAAACATTCAAATGTGCTTTAACACTCTGGCTTCCTCCGGAAAAAGAGAGACTTCTTTAGGTTTTGTATTTCCATTTATCCTGTCAGGATGAAACATCACAGATATATTTAAGTTATGGCTTTAGGTTAAAATGAATAAAACCACAACAAAGCAAAAAAGGGAGGATACGCTTTATAACCAGAGCCTACGAGTAGCTGAAATGTTCCAGTTTTGAGGAGAAAGATCGTGCTCTACCCAGAAGCTCCAGATCTTTACAAAAGACCAATTTGCTTCGCAATTCAAAGAATTTATTTAAAGACACTGGGAAAAATAATTACTACTTCAAATCTTAATTTGCCTAAAAGCAAACACCAAAAGTCTAATTATAGCTTCCAATAAATGAGAGAATAGACCCACCATCACACGCACTTAAACAAAAGACCTCCCTCTGACCGAGTGGCACCAGACGCCCCCAAACTCCTCCGCTTCGAGGAGACACACACACACACCAAAGAAAAAAGGCAGTTTTTGCCCCAGGAAGAGAAAAACTATTACCAATAATTTCAACTTCTAGAAATGCAGCAAAGCTCCTCATTACACAATGGCTGGAGAGCTGTCCCTGTTTCCTGTGGGTTTTCTGGAGCACACCAAACACCTTCGACACAGCATCAGCACACTCGACGATGCAATGAGGACATCCAACTTCAGCAACTCCCTGTTCTTAGCACCATATGTTTGGTCACATTTTAACAGCACCTCTAAGGGGGGATTCAGTGTTTATTTGGTATTCTGTTTCTTTTGGGAGAAAAAGAAGGAAACAAACTAAAGGACTCAATCTCTCCCCATCTCTGCCTTTGCTATCTTGTTCAACCCAGGACACGCACAGTGGGTTTCAACTCCCACAAAGAGCCAGGCTGTTTCCTGCTATGGCCTTAGGCCTCTATTAAAAACAATTTAATTCACACAGGCCCTGTGAGGACTGACAAACCCAACTGCTGCTGCTTGTGGAGCACTGGCTGGCGTGCTCCATTTTGTTCAGTGATTGCTTTGGGTTTTGCAGGAGACAACATCTCTCCCATTTTAAAACGTTCTGAATTTAACACGCTAGGTGGATGGCTGCCTTGTGGAGTGCAAGAACATGAGCACGGATCCATTGGGATAGAGTGATGTCCAGCTTCCCGACTGCTGTAACAAGCGGTGCTGTACAGGCCTGGCTCAGTGGTCCCTTCTGCTTGTACAACCCCAGCATTCAGAAATGCTGTTTGCAGAATACGAGCAGAACAGCCCAGCCTGATCCCTTTGGCACCTATTCATAGACCTATTGTCCATAAATGCATTTAATCCCTTATTAAAGCTGCTGATGCTGACCTCTTCACAACCTCTTATGACAAAAACTTCCAGGAGTCCACTACATGCTGTGTGAAGCATTACTTTCACCCATTTCAAACCTACCTATCTCCTGCTATTTCCACTGACTGCACCCTGGCTGTAGGAGCTGGTAAACAACAGCTCTGTGTTCAGCTGAGGCATTGCCTTCCTGATGTGAACTTTGATCCCACCTTCCTCTCTTAACAGAGCAGCCTCAGGCTTTCCAGTCTCTCCTCATAAAGCAGCTGCTCCATCCCATTTATGGCACGGGCTGCCATTCTCTGGAGCACCACCACGTCCTTGAGATGGAGAGACCAGAACTGCACGCAGCACTGTTGATGTGGGTGCACCAACACTTTATATAACAGCAACATGACATAAAGCAAATCTCTTGTTCTTAACACCCTTCCTTGTGTTGCCCAATGCTGCTGGCTCCTCCGGCTGCCTACGAGCCCATGATTTCAGAGAACTGTCAACTGCGACTCAGATCTTCCCTGAGCTGCGACTGCCGGGTCAGAGCATCGTGATGTTTCAGGGAAAGACAGCAGCAGAGGGGCCTGAACAGGAAGGTAATTTGTGACTGACAGTGCTTTCAGATCATGTTCAACCGAGTCTGAAACCTGGTGAGGAACCAACACCCTCGCACCCTTATTTTGGAAGTGCACCAGTCTGTGCCTGGGGAGAAAACAAGTGACAGTGTCTACTCAGAAAGGCAAATTTCACCCCTGAGAAGGGTCTTCTCCAGGATCTGTGCTTCCCCCACCACATCACAGCCTTTCTGCGATAGGAAATAATCTCTAACACGAACAGCAGAAGCTGCTCAGCACCAGTCTACTTCCCCAGGCCCACGCTCGAGACCTACGTGCAATTTTTCTTTTAGCAGCAAACTTCGTTCTCTCCAGCTGCTGTTTTGTTCTCTTCTTTTGCAATGCACTCTCCTCCTTTGACTCCTGCTGTAATGGAAAAAACCATGGTGAGTGCATATAGCATGTAAGAAATACTACCAGCTCCCTCCCCCCCCCGACTCCGACACAAACACTGGTTCAAGAACAAGCCTCTATTTGTGTGAAATTTGAATTTCAAACATAATTCAAGCACATTCTGTAACTATTAAAAGCTATGTGATAAGCATAACGAGCAAAAAGAGTTACAGACTGACATAAACAGAGAAGTAGGAGAGACAATAGACTTTATGCCAGTCACCACCATGCACTGCACCTGCTGCCCATGATTTCAGAGAGAATTCATTTGGCCTTGCTAAAACATTGGTATTTGTCAGCACTCAAAACAGAAAAGCAAAACCTTTTTATATCCAGACATCACACACCTCTAAGCTGGGACTGTTTCCTGCCATGTAGCTTCTAGTACTCTGCCCAGACAATTTCAGGTGACCAAAACTAGAATCCTAGCCATTCTGGAGGGCCCTGAGGGCAGGCGAGCCAGCTGTATTTACTCCTCCTGCTATTCTCTCATTGTATTTGCCACAAGTGTTTAATTTTTGAAGCCTGAGTACTCCAGAAACCTGAAGTCTCAAGGTCTCCTGGAAAAATACCCCTATGAACAACCTCAGTGCATGCTGCTTTAAGTACATGGACTGCCACAAGAATGGTCACAAGCTGAAATGACAGACATTTATGCAAGTTGCTGTCCTAACAGCTTAAGTGAGGGCATACACATTACCAAGGGCTGGCACTGGACCTCTTCCAATTTGACTCTCTGTATCACGTAGGATTAAAATCAAACCCAGTGTTTCAGGCCATGTGTGGCCAGGATGGGGCTTCCTGCATCTCCATCTGAGCTGGTTTTGCTCTCTGTGAGACTCCTGCAAAGCGGCCACAAGCTTGTCCCTCATGCCACCTCCTGTGCCAGGACAGGGTTTCCACAATGGGGCATGTGGCTGGGGCTACTTTAATGCAAGCAGATACACTGCTTATTATAAAGTGTCATCAATTTCTGCTGCCCATTGCCTGTGTTTCTGAACCTGTGAAGTCCTTTAGACTGTACCTCTATGCTGAGTTTTGTTCCAGCCATCTCCAGTTTAATGTTATCTGTAGATTTTATTAATGTATGTACACCACTTGCTCCCTCTTACAGATCATTAATGACGATGTTAAAAGACACACAGACCTAATATTGATCCTCTTGGCCTCAGCTTTACATCTCCCTGAAACAAGCCTCTCTTCTGTTCATCGCCAGCCTTTGCTCACAGTCTTTTAGCAGGGTTTCAATCCAACAGTGTTACTATCTAGACCAAATTGAATTATTTATCCAACTAAGATTTTGCAAGACATACTATCAAGCGGTTTCCTGAAAGCCTAATACATTACAGCTTCTACATGCCCCAATACCTACACCATTCCTCGCTTCCACCAATTTAAGAATCAGCTCACAACAAGGCAGCAATCGTGCTTGTCAAGTCCACACACACATATTCATGCTTGCACCTAAGGGCTTTTCCTTTGACTGAATCCTTCTCTTCCTCACTCAGCCTGGTTTTGGTACCCTGTGTCTAAACTCTGCTGTGTCTCCAAAAGGCTGCCTCACAGCCCCATTCTCTCTTGCTAGAAGATGGATGCTCACACACAGCAGGTGAAATCCTCTCTCCCAGGGCCCTGCACGTTTTCCATAAGGCACAGGTTTTCCTGTTCCAAACTGCCCTGCAGTGGCGGTCCACACCTAAGGGAGCGTGGAATGGTCTGTGGGGCTGCACCATGATCATGCTAGGATTATATGCTGGAGAGAGTTCAGCAACAGCTCTCTTGCTGTCCCCCAAAGCCCTGACTAACAGTGCTAAACCTACTGCAGCTTAAGATAGGGGCAACTTAATCCTAGGCTCTGTAAATCCCCAGCTCTTCTCTCTGGACATCAATCTTCCCCTCATCACTCTTGCACTTGCCAGAAGGTCAACCCTGACACTCTCATCTGCAGCTCTTCCAGGGCACGGATGTTATTTATGAGCACACCAAACCTTCCACAGCTGCCAGTGTCTGCTGTGTGCACAGAGACACACAGTTACAATATGCACCACAGGACAAGATGGGGCTCAAAAACCTCCAGGGCTTTGGAGAACGGTGTGTGCCTGGTGGCAGGCAGGCTGCCCAGCTTCACACACAGCCAAGGCCGTGCCTCTGTGCTGAAGGATCTCCACATTTCCAACAGCGGCAGGAGCACAATTACTGCAGGACACGTGCTGTATGAACCTCAGACATTTGAGAAAGATGTTTAAATTGCTCAGCAGCGTTCTACCAAACAGCTCCAGCACAGTGAAGCGCTGAAGCAAATCCAATTAATCCTGATGGACCAAAATATACACACACATCTCAATTCCAAGAATTCTTAAATCTTCTTTATTTTTAAACCCAGAAAATAAAACATACCTTTTAATTAGGATTTATGGCTGTTTGTACCTCTGCTGGGAGAGAGCCCCGCAGGCCCCAGAGTGCTCTGCATAAATGCAGGCATGGATGGAAGAAACAGAAGGGGCCCAGAAAACTCAGAGAAGACAACAGGGCTTGCTCCTTCTGACCCAACCTTTTTAATGCTCATCTCTCTACAAGGATAATAGGAACTCAGGGGGCCACTCAACCAACTGCCTTTCTAATAAGATCACTAGTCCAAAAATAATCTTAATCAATTAAAATATTCCCAAACTGCAACCAATACTCTTAGTTACAAGGTCATCTCCAACACACAGCTTCCAGGGGAAACTAATTATTCTAAGCGGAGGCGAGGTAGGGGCTGTGCACCTATGCTCAGTGCCAGCCTGGAGAGCATCTCCCCTCCTCTGCCATCAGTTTAAAGCATAATGGCCAGAAGGAATCCAAATTCTCTTTCTGTGTATCAGGCTCTGCAGTTTAATTTATGATGCTCTCCAATGAGCAATTCCACTGTCAGCATTGTACACAGATGAAGAAAAAGACAGGTTTCCAAAGTCCCCTGCACGTTTAGTGGAAGGCAGCCACTATTATTCCTTGTTTTTTTTTACTCTGCTTGGTTTCACCAGACAGCAGGAAATCAAATTCCCATTTTAAAAATGCTTTTGCACATACTTAAGAGAACCTGATGCTGCCAGCAGAAACAGATAGAGCTCCACTCGCTTCTAAAAGCCCGTAAATGGAAGCCAGTAGCCAGCCTCCCACATCCTGCTCCCTCCAATCCACATCATAAACCACAGAAATCAGCTTCCACTGACTCAGGGAAGGAAAGGCCACAGAAGAATGTCTCCATACCTAACAGTGCAAGCTGCAAAGTCAAAAGGTCTGGGTAGTTTTACTGCTCAGTAGCAGTTGGGACCATCTAACAACAGGGCACAGCCAAACACCACACGTCCTGCATGGGAAATACACAGATGAAAACCAGACTAATTTCTCTTTAAAAGCCAATTAGATGTTGGAAGTGCCACCCTTGGCTCTAGCCAAGGCTGCTGCTGCCGAAATTAATATCACACCCTACTTTATTAGTCTCTGACTTCAGCTCAGAATCTGTTTCAGCTCTGCTCTGTCTTTCAGCTCATTAGAACAAACCTGCTGGAAGTGGAGACTTGAACAACAGACACAACGGGGCTTGTGCCAGACATGTAGTTCCTGACACACAGGAGGGAGGCCTCTGCAGGAAAAACAGCTTTCACCAGGCTGTGAGGAGCCTGGATTCAGACAAACCTCATTTCTGAGAAGAAGGTACAGCACAGCATACTCAGACTGTGTTCTCCTCTGGGAATGGGAGTCCCTCAGTACCACAGCAGAGTCCCTGGGGACAGGAGGGTGCTGTAGTGATACTCCCACATGGCTCTGCTTCACTCGGATTGCCAATGGTGTGAGGAGGGCACTGCCAGCACCATCTTCACTACGAGGATGCTGAGGCGCTGGCACAGGGTGCCCAGAGAAGCTGTGGCTGCCCCATCCCTGGCTGTGTTCAGGGCCAGGTTGGACACAGGGGCTTGGAGAAATCTGCTCTAGTGGAAGGTGTCCCTGCCCATGGCAGGAGGTTGAAACTGGATGAGCTTTAAGGTCCCTTCCAACCCAAGCAATTCTGTGATTCGATGATCTTCTCCATAGCAAGGCATCCCTCAGGCCATGCCTGGTATTGAGACAAGTGTTCTCTGCCATAGTTAATGGAGAACAGGACAGGGCAGGGCAGCGGCTGGGTTCCAGCCAATGTCCAAACACACCTCCCTCTTACTACCAAAACCAACATCTGATCTAGAACATCAGCACATGCTGTTATTCATCCGGAGTGTGAGTATCTCCAAACACAGGGATAATCAAGCAAAGGAATGTTCCACACCAAAGGGAAGGAGGCCATGGATACCATACAGAAATAGATGGCACCATCACCATGGAGTCTTGTCATATGTTCCCCAAGGGCTGGCAGAGCTGATGAATCTGGCAGAAAGAGCCTGTAAGACTTCATGCAGACTCCGTGAGTGAAGGCAGGTATTCTCAAAGCTCACAAAGGATCTACCCAAGGAAAAAGAGTCCCACAGCAGACCAGCAGCGTTTTGGGTTAGGCTCAAAGAGGTCAGCACAGCTACTGGGCCTCTGCTGGCTGACAACCATCTTTCATACATGGCTTCAGAACATCCTGGAGGTCAGAGTCTCTATAAAACAGTCCAATTCACGCAGGAGGCTCGTGAGCCAGCCCAGGAATTGCTATGCTTGGAGAGAGCATTGCTGGGCACTATTTGAAATATTGTCTATTTGTGAATGACCACCTGTATTCTGTCATGGGCAACCGATTCCCTGCAGGACTGATCAGCCAGGGGAGACAGGAGCCACTTGGCTCATTCATCACGTCTGCATTTTCACAGGCACAGCCTGCACAGAGAAGGTAATCTCTTGTTTCCACAGAGCCAGAGAGACTGTTCTTATTTTGTCTGACCCTTCCCCAAAAAAAGAGAAGCATTCCCCAAATCCAGGATTATATATAGCAGAGATCAGAAAGCCCCACATCCAGAAAGCTTCCTTCTGATGCAGCTCTGCGAATGCCACAGCATAGACATGAGCAAAGAAAGAAAACTTGGCAAAAAAAGCCAACCATGGATGAGCTTGATAATCCAGCATGACTGAAAAATTCCTGGGAGAGGCAGTCTGCCAAAGATCATCAAAAGTGAGAAGCTGGAGGCTTTCCAGGTGCAGCTGCTACAAGATCTGCTGGTCTGGAAGCAGAACTAGGGACTTGTTCTATAGATACCTGCCAAGAGACTGCCAAGGAAGAAAGCCATCGAATCAATGATGCCCAAATTGTCCTTGTAGCTTTTGATTCATAAGGAACCATGTCCTAACAGATGCAAGATTAATTGAGAATGTATTGTTCTCTAAAATTGCTATTGATCTGAGCTTCCCACACCTCTTCTTGAACACATAACAAGGTCTTACTAGAGCAAGAACAACAGTTGCAAGGTTTGAAATTGAAATTCAACTTGATGTACACTGAAGAGCTGAGACAGTTACAGAAGCCAGACAGTTATTTTTTTGAGATCCCAAGTAAATCACATTTTTGGTTTGATTTTGCAGAAAACAACACGACAAGAGACTGTGGCACCGGATCTGGAAGCTGATGACTCACAGAAAGAGACTGAACTGAATAAATCCACTCATTCAACTGACTGAACTGTTGTCACTTATACAGAACCTAATTGGCTCTTTAACGGCCTCTCTGAGCATATCCTTTTCTGTAATATGACCGATTATGCCATCAGAATTTATTGTTTATAGACAAACTTACACAACAGTCAGGAGCCTAACCTTTTTATAGATGTCTTTTAAGAGACATTTGCTTCCCCTTTCTCAGATACGTGCACATTGAGATGAATAATTGCAGACAATAACAGGTCCTGATCTTTTATGTACTGCAGCAGCTCTTATAGCGGCTGATTTCTTTTTTCCTTATAGGTTTCACAATAAAGGCCAGTGATGCAGCAGACATCTGAAGTTAACTTAGCATATTGCAGAGCTAAGGATTTAACCCCACTGAACTATTACTGCCATATGTTCCATTTCTTTCAGGGAATTTCCCAATGGGAAAGAACTCAGACAATGTGAAGAAAAAACATCCAATATCATTTGCCCTACAGCTTCTTACTGTTTATTTCTGGTGCTTTTCCCCTCCTCACATGATAATCGCCTTATTGTAGAGGAGCATGCTGCAGATGTGGGAGCAAAAGGAACTTGATTTAAGATCTGCAGCTTGAGAGTAAACTGAAATGCTTCTGAAAATGGTGGGATTGCAAAAAGCAGACTAGGATCCCCAAACACCAGCAAGACTGAGCAGAGCCACAACAGTCATACACAAAAAACTGATTCTGATAGTTTCCTCTCATGTACCTCAGCCAGTTGAGGACAGATTCTCAAGCTCTGGGTTTCCCCCAAGCAGGAGTTCCTGCACTCAACCCAATGCCAATGTGACAGACACAGACATTTCAATCTTCTAGGGTAAGGCTGATGTTTGCAATGAGGGATCAGGGATCTGAGCCTTTCTGTCTCACTGAGACACTCCCACACCACAATTCACCTCTACACCCTATGGAAGTGGGTTAAAAACTCAGGCTTCTGTAATTCAGGACCAGTTTACCTGACACCAGCTGTGCCTGAGCTACTCACAAGCCCGTGTTCTGAATCATTTTCTTATCTGTTTGCACATAATATAGAATCATGTTTCTAAGGTTTAGCTGGAAATCAATCAAATAAAAATTATGAAAAAAAGATTTGTAAAGGGATTGAGGAAAGGTTACTTTGAAATTACGTTTCAAATTCAGTTCTGAGAGGATTTGGTTATCAAATCCCAGACTCATAACTCACCCTCACGAAGCACACCATTCATTTCCTAGTCAAACAGGATTTGATTCATCTCATATGTAAGAAAAGGAACGGCACAATAACCCCTGCACAAAGCCTGACCCCAACACAGGCAGTGTGGGGTGCTCGGGCTCTCTCCTGCCACAGCAGGCCCCGGCACAGGCTCTGGCCAGCACAAGGTGATCACTGACCTCTCCATCGCTGTCAGATATAACAATGAATGCATCCACAAAGCTGCGCTTCTTCTTGGTGTTGGCTGAGCAACTCTTATCTTCCTCCTCTTCCTCCCCATCCTGGCTTCGAGAGTCCAGGCCCTCTGCGGGCTTCTTCCTCCTCGGCATCCTTCACTCTGAAAGAGAGGGAAGGATTAAAAGCCATTTGTTTCCTTCTGATTTAGATTTCCCCTAACAGCCATCCTTTTTTTTTTGCTATTTTTAGTCAAAATGCTGCAGGCATCAGAACCTTTATTACAAAGCGTGGTGGATTTAGTGTTACTGGGAGCCACATGTACAAGTCACCACTCATCTAGTTAAGAATTCTTTATTACAGCTGATTGCTAAAAAGGGGTTTCAGGGGAACAGCAACACAGAAGCCACTCTGAATGCCCTCGCTCCTAAGTAATGAGGCTTTCCTCTTAAAGTTCATCAGCAAACTCCGCCAAAGCATTGCTTCACAGCAGGTCTGCTGCCCTTCAACGCAACCCCACACGTCCTCTCCTCAGCCCCACACCTTCATTATCCTGGTGCAGAACAAACCAGGCTGTGGCTGCGGATCAAGCTGGAATTTGTGTGCCAGAACAAGAAGCCACCACAGCAGAGCCATTTGTCAGCTTTTATATTCACCAAACAAGGGGGAAAGGCACGTTCTTCAAAGGAAGCTGTTTTGCTGTCAGCACAGCAGCTCAGAGGAAGGCTGCATCAGCACTACAAAAAGGGAAAATGCAGGCGATGGCAGTAGGCAGGTTGGAAACAAAACAAAAGGTTTATGTTGCAGCCTGGATTTCTCAATGAGCATCAGGCTCCGGAAGTCCTCTGTGCAGACATGCCCAAACCATTTGTATTAGAGAAGGCACTTGACAAGCAGCGAGGAACCTGCTGAGCGTTATTAGTGCAAACCTGAGTGCTCTACGAGCAGCACAATTGAGGGCAGGTGCCCACACAATGCAAGCTAGCACTTCAGTGTCTCCTTTCCTTGCCAGCCCAGACTGCTGGAAAGAGATGCACAGCAAGTGTTAGCTGCTGTGATCAAAAGGACTCAGACAAGAGGATCAGGAAGAGAGCTCGGTGAAGGAGAGCAGTGGGACGGCACGCACAGTTAGACCACCCTTTCCCTTCTGTGTTTGCTGTTCACCAAACAACCCGACAACAACGTCTGGTGCTTCCTGAACTGTGATGTAGAAGAGGCTCGCAAAACAGGCTGAGCACGATCAGCTCTGTTGAAGTTAGAACTCAACATGTGCGGAGTGGTTAAGCAACAAGCCCCTCGTGTTACACACCAGAGAACAGCAGAGCTGGAAGTGTAAGTCAGCTTGGCTGGCTCCCAGACCAGTGTCCTTCCACAGGATCATTCTGCCTTCCTTCAAGATCACTGAAATAGCTCAAATGTGCTGCTTAGAGCTAAAATAAGAGTAGGAGAAGATACAAAAAGGACGCTAGGTTACCCAATATAGAGCCAAACCCTTCTCTGTAACACCACAAAACTGCAAACAGCCGCTTTGTGTAGAGATGCTAATGGAGAAGCTCAGAGTCCCCATCAGCGCCAGGAACAGCAGTGCACTGCTCCATCTACAGTCCGAGGCAGCAAGGTGAGGCTGAGAGAGGAATACACGCGCCCCCTCCTACTATCTGCGGCCTCCAGAAGCTCTTGTAGCCTCTCAGCCTCCCTTCCTCTGCAAACACACGCACACACATGCCTAGAGACAAAAGGTGATTATCCTGGTGAGTCACGATCTGCACTGAAGGTTTGCTGAGCCCTCTGAAGACGGAACACTGTACAAACGGCATGCACAGCACCAGAAACCACTGCAAGGCCCGCTGCAGTCCACAAACGTTTCTCTGTTTAGGAAAGGCAAATAAAACCAAGTGCTGCTTTCGAAAGAACAATGGCGCTTGCTAAACAAACTGTTCTGCTCCAGCCGAGCCCAACTCGGGTCCTGTTGGAAGATCCTCATGACACTTCATCCGTGTTTTATCTTTTGCTCCAAATGGCCTCTTTGCCCTCTGCCCAGAGAGATGAGCCCAGTCTCACCCCCAGCTGCTGAGACCTGCCCCATGGAGAGTGTCTGTGGCAGTGGGGAGCACTCCTTTATCAGAAGGAAACCACTTACACAGACGGTTTAGCACAGTGATGGGGAGTGAGGCCTGTGCCTCCGGTGCAGGAGCCCACACAGGCTCACCCTGGTTTCGAAGAGCCAGCCTGGAAACCTCTTCACCACCAAAACAAAAGCATGTGCCATGCTGCTACCAGCAGCTCTCCTCTGACTCCACGATGCATCTCCTGCTTGATGCACTGTGATAAATAAGAGATCACTGAGAAATATCAGCTGGAGTTTTGATGAGTCACCTACCTTCAACATTTAAAGGGAAGGGAGGAAGAAAAAGGAGATGTAAGAGATGTAACCACACAACTCCCACAACGCTGCTGAAAACGAAGGGACTTGTGGCAAAGAGTCTCTGTAAATGTAACTAAGGGAACAAGACAAATAAGAGATCACTTGTAGCTGCACTAGTCTGAGGCTATGAGTAGGAGAGCGAGATAATAGCTTTTATTAGACAAGCTGGTACAGCTGAGGAAGAAAACATGCATCAGAGCACACCCCCCTCTCTTCAGGTAGTGAAGTTAAGCTGTATTTTGCTTTTAGCACTCTGGGAAAGGACAGTTGCTTGTACCCAAGGTGATGACACCTGCTTTCAGGCTCAGCAAAACCAGACTGAATTATCTGAAACTACCTTACCAGCTTTGCTCACAAAATCATTCCTCAGTTATCCACGTTTTTTCCAACTCTGAATGGAACAGAATGTCTCTGTAAACGCTGACAGCAAAGGTGACCTCCTGACAAGGGGCTAGCACATGCCACGCTTCTCCAGTCACATTTTTAGGGATATCCTTGAAGATCCCCAACTTGTGATTATTTGTCATTTTCCCCTCTCATCTATCATTTTGATGAATCAGAAAGCAATTACCGACAGAATAATTCTAAATCTTGACACTGCAGCTACAGACCTGCCAAGCTGTGACAGCTTGAAAAATGCTTGAAAATGAAGCCAAAAATGAATGACTCTCATCCCCGGATGAGTTTCTGAGCCGTTGGAGACACAGGCTGTCGCTTTGTAAACAACTCCCCCCACCTCAGGAAGAGGAGGCTCCATGCTCAGGCAGGTCAGCACCACATGCCTCAATCCAAATATCATCCCCAGACCCCCAGCTCGACCCATCACGCAGCACCCAGCTGATGCTCTGCAACCAGCAAAATAGAAGGGCTCAATGCGCCTGGAGGAGAGGAAGTCTTTACAGGATTTATCTCTTTATAGAGCTGGGTCTTCACAGGACTACAAAGGCCACACGGGTCCATCTGCAAATGCCACTGAGCTCTCAGGAGATCCACACTGTCCCACTGCCCAAAGCAAGTCGTGCACACAGCACCTCTCTCTCCTCCAAGGCCAGGCCCTGCATGGCAGGGGGAAAGCAGCCCTTTCTCTAGCACCAACCTGGGGTCCTCAAGTCCCCAGCCTGCTGCTTTGGGGCATGGAGGGCTCTGCACGGAGGCTGACAAGGACAGGGTCGGGGCTACTCAAGAAGCATCACGCTGGGGAGGAAGCATGGGGGATCCCAGACGGGATGAGGGGATCAGCCACAAGGAGCGCGCTGGGGCTACCCCAAGAGGGGCAGGGGGACAAGAGGGGCAGGAAGCCGGCCACAGGGCTGAGCCTGGGGGATGCCGCAGGGGAAGGGGCTAGGGCAGAGCCGGGAGGTCGGGTTTGGGGAGCCCTCCCGAGGGTAGAGCCCCATGAGGGGTCCCAGAGTGTCCCCAGAGGAAGGGGCGCAGTACCAGTGACCCCTCCAGGGCAAAGGACTGGGAACAGCCCCCGAAGAGAATGATACCGGGTGTTCCCTCAAGGGAAAGACTGCGCTGGTGGCCGGCCCCCGATCACCGGGACGGAGGCCATGGGCATGCCTCGGGGTTCAGACCCGGAGCAGCGCCAGGGGAAGGGGGCATGGAACGGCCCCGGGGGAAGAGAAGGCCCCGAGCGGGGAAAGGGGATCGGCGCCCGGCCGCGGGAGCCCCGCGGCGGATGGGCCCCAAGCGAGTCCCGGGGCAGCGAGCCCGGCGCGGAGCGGCAGGCCCCGCAGGGCACAGGTACTCACCGGGACCGGGCCTCCCGCGGGCCGGCGCCCAGCCCTCGCCGGGCCACCCCACCGCGCCGGCCCCGGTCGGCGGGTCCCTCACCCGAGCTCAAGTTGGCGGCGGAGGCCTCATTGCCCTCACCCAATATGGCAGCGGCAGCTTCTCCATAAGTCACGTGGCGGTCGCGGCGGTGAAGCGGGAGCCGCCATGCCGCTGGCGGGCAGGTAGCGGGCCCGGCACGAAGGCGGACTGCGGGCCCCGACCCCTTGTCCCGGGGTGCGCCGGGAGGTGCCGGGGCTGCCGCCATTTTCTCATCCCGGTACCGGGTGCCGCAGACAGGGCGGTGGGCGCTGGTTTCCAGAGAGGTGGCCAGCGCGGTGAAGAGGAGCACCTTCAACCCTCTACCTGCGTAAACCCGGGTGCCTCAAAAGTCACCGTAGCAACCGACTGCTCCGCTGACCCGTTCGCACAGGCAGGGAGCCGCCGGCAGCCGCCAGTCCCCGCCACCCTTGCCCACAACCAACATGGCCACCACCGCCTCGCTCCATGGTCTCGCGGGAGGACCCCTTGCTGGTGCTAAGCGGAGGGATCTGGCTGTTCTCGCGAGAGCTGCAGCAGGCGGTGGCCATGGCGGACGGGGCGGGTAGCAACGGGGACGCTGCGGGGCTGCCGGTGGGCAAGGAGGCGGGTGAGGAGCCGGGGACCGAGGCGGTGGGGTTAGAGGTGTGCGGCCTGCCCGGGCTGCTGACGCCCTGGCTGTGTGTGGTGTCTGTGTGTGTCCCGCAGTGGAGCGCCTGATCCGGGAGAACGGGCACATCTTCACGGAGGCGCAGTGCAAGGTGTGCAGCGCGCTGCTCATCTCCGAGTCCCAGAGGCTGGCTCACTACCAGGTAGGGAGCGGGGACCGCCGCCCGCCGCCGCCGGGCACCGCGGGGCGCTGAGCAGCGGGCGGGCCGGTCTCTGTCTGCTTTCCGCAGAGCAAGAAGCACGCCAACAAGGTGAGGCGGTACCTGTCCATCCACGGCGGGGAGGAGCGCGGCCCCGGGAAGAAGATGAAGCTGGATGCGAAGCAGGTGAGGGGGTAGAGGTGAAATACGGGAGACGTGCTGGGCTAGAGGCTGTTGTACGGCCCCGGCACTTCTATAGGGTAGAGTTGGATAAGCTCTTAGGTACAAGCTCCTCCCTGTGAGGGTGCTGAGGCGCTGGCACAGGGTGCCCAGAGGAGCTGTGGCTGCCCCATCCCTGTTGGTGCTCAAGGCCAGGTTGGACACAGGGGCTTGGAGCAAGCTGCTCCAGTGGAAGGTGTCCCTGCCCATGGCAGGGGTTGGAACTGGATGAGCTTTGAGGTCCTTTCCAACCCAAACCATGTTATGAGTATGAAAACGCTCTTGGAAAGGAACCTGTGATAAGTGGAGAGCTTGATGGTAGGTGTGTTGCTGGGCCTTGTCCTAGTAAGCACAGTTCCTGCTGCCCTTCCCATTTCAATAGCCTCTGTGAGTATGTCTTCCCCAGTTAAACAAACAAATGTTGCCTTTTATTGATAGTCTTGTTCAAAAGGGCAGGGAAGAGCTGAATGGGAGCAGCAGCTTCTCAGGAGTGTCATTGCATAACCATTACTGTCACAAGAGCGCATTGGGTTGACCGTCTACTGGGACTCTCATTCCCGAGCGATCTGGGTTATAGTTATGTAGGTTTCCTTGGCCTGTAGCTGGAGCCTGTTGGTCAGTAAAGGCACCACATTCCACTCGGCCATCTGTCTGCCCCGTGACTCATTTGGGAAACAGATTCTACTTCTATGATTGCTTCAGCTTTAATCCCTAACTCCCCAACATTTGCAGGCGGGGGGGGGGGGTGTGGAATAAAAGCAGATGCCTTCTCACATAGTGTTAGGCTTAGAAATGACTGCTGCTGCCTGCTCCGCTGGCGTCGTGTTGCAGATGACCCAGCTGATAGTGGTGTTGGTGTTGCTTAGTTCACACCTCGCAGAGTAAAAGGCTGCCTGTTCCAATTCTAGCAGCCACAAACTTAACCTTATCCTTAATCCATCCTGCTCAGTCGCTCTTCTTTAACTTAACACGGGTGTCTCCAATTACCTTGTTTATTTAGACCCCCAAACCTTAGTGTTGCTTCTTAGCACGAGATGGTTGGATGAGGGGACCTGCAGAGATCCCTCCCAGCCTCAGCCCCTCCGCGGTTCTGTGTGCACAGGATAGCAAGCAAGAAGGCAGCAACGGGGAAGACAGGAACAAGTGTTGTCCCATCTGCAACATGACCTTCTCCTCACCAGCAGTGGCAACGTCTCATTACTTGGGCAAGACTCATGCCAAGAACGTGAAGCAGCAGTCCCCCAGACTGGAAGGTATGGCTGTCTGCAGCACCTGCAGGTTGTACCAAGAGGCTGTCAAGCCATATAAAAGTCAAGAGGCTCGTTAGTCCCCAAGTATAAACTGTTGTGAGGATGTGTGCACTCTTTACTGTGAAGCAGAGTAAGCCAGCAGTACACTTCCAGAAACGTGGCCTCTCAGAAGCCTGCTTGGTGGGCTGGTGTTGGCAGAACCTTGTGTGTTGCTTTGTTGAGGAGAAATGCAGCTTGTGGCAGTGTTGTACCCATCCCTGTGTGTAGAAATGTTTGTCACAGGTTACAATGCTCACTAAGAGCATGAAGTGATGGGTGAAACTTGGATATAGCAAATTCATCAGGCTGATCAGCTACAAAGATGGAGCCTCTGGAGTTCAAGAACTTGTGAGCTGCAGATAGGCAGGGACTGGGAGGGTGTAACTGGGAAACATCAGTGTGTGCTTGTCCTGACCTTGTGTTTTTCCCACGGCACCTACTGCTGGCTGCTCTGGTGATGTGAGACAGTGCAGGCAGACCTCGGGTCCGACCCAGTGCAGCTGCCTGTGTGTC